TTTGGAGACACAGCAGCTAAAAGTTCTTGTACTTCAGAGTTCAGAAATTTTGTTCCCAGGACCCAAGTCAGGGGGGCTCACAACTGGCGTAACTCCAGTTCCAGGGGATCCAACACCCTCTTCTGGCTTCCTTGGATACTTGCATGCATGTGCACAGACATACACACTCTCCTCCTCTCCCTCCCCCACCACCCACCCACCCACACCCCCCCCACACACACATACACACACACACATTTAGGAACTAAAAGGATGGCACATCAGTTAAAGTACTTAATGCTCTTGCAAAGAACCAAGTCCATTTCTAATCTCTGAAGGCACCAACACTCACATGTACACACACAATTAAAAATTTAAAAAAAATCTTGTCAAGTGGTGGTGGCACACACCTTTAATCCCAGCACTCTGGAGGTAGAGGCAGGTGGATCTCTGTGAGTTTGAAGCCAGCCTGGTCTACAGTGAGTTCCAGGACAGCCAGGGCTATCCCCAGAAAGAAGCCCTGTCTCAAAAACCAAAAATAAATAAATCTTTTCCAAAATCTTCAAAAGTAGGTCTTTAAACAAACAAACAAGAAGATACTCTCAGGGCTGGAGAGATAGCTTAGTGGTTAAGAAAACTGTCTGTTCTTCCAGAGGTCCTGAGTTCAATTCCCAGCACCCACATGGTGGCTCACAACCATCTGTAATGGGTTCTGATGCCTGCCCTCTTGCACTTGGAAGGCTGAGAAAAAAAGACCAAGAGTCCCAGAGTAGCCTAAGCTACAGAGAAAGAGTCTACCTCAAGAAACAAGAGCCAGCAATGTAGGGGAACAAATGAGAGGAAAGTTTAAGTGTGTGTGTGTGTGTGTGTGTGTGTGTGTGTGTGTGTATGCGCGCGTGTGTGCGCTCATGAAAATGCTATGATGGAAACCCCATTGCTTTGTGCAAAGAGAGACATAGAAAGAAGGGGAGAGAAGAAGGGGATGAAATGATTCAGCAGATTCAGCAGATATAGGCATTTGTCACCAAGCATAATAACCTGAAAGTGATCCCTAGGCCCCACATGGAGAAATGAGAACAGACTCCCCAATGTTTCCTCGGATCTCCACATGTGTCCATTGCACGGATAAGCCTCCTCCCCAACATAAATAAAACTTAATTTAACAATTTTTCAGGGGTTAAAGAAATGGCTCAGTGCTTAAGAACTTGTACCGATCTTACAAAGGACTTTGCACCCACACAGGTGACAGACACAAAACCACCTGTTATCTCCAGTCCCAGGGAATCCAATGTCCTCTCCTGGAATCCATGGGCAGTACACTTAAACACACACACACACACACACACACACACACACACACACACACCAAAAAGAAAAAAAAAAACTGTTTTTGTAGACAGTAGACAGGGTTTCTCTGTAGCTTTGGAGCCTGTCCTGGAACTTGTTCTGGAGACCAGGCTGACCTCAGACTCACAGAGATCTGCCTGCCTCTGCCTCCTGAATGCTGGGAGTGTGCCACCACTGCCTGACGATTTTAAAGGGCCTGTCCTTTAAAGGTGGTGCATGCCTTTAATCCCAGAACTCTGAGGTAGAGGCAAGTAGAACTCTGAGTTTGAGACTAGTCTGGTCTACTTAGTACCAAGCTAGCCAGCGCTACCTAGTAAGACCCTGTCTCATATAAATAAAATTAAACAAATAAAGGATAGCCAAACTGGGCATCACAGTAGACTCTTATAATCCCAACACTTGGGAAGTAGAACCAGGAGGAACGGAAGTCAAGGTCAACCTTGGTATATTGGGACTTTAAGGCCAGCCTGGGCTACATACAGATCATCTCAAAAAGAAGCACATGATAAAGTAAAACAAGCAGGTGGTGGTAGCCCACATCTTTAGTCCCAACACTCAGGAGGCAAAGGCAAGCTGATCTACAGAGTGCGTTCCAGGACAGGCTCAGAAAGAGAATTGGTTCCAATTTGCCTTTTGCATTAAAACAACTTCCCCCAAATATGGCGGGTTCCCCTCCCCACTCTATGGTTTGAAGAGGGGTGAGTCTCACCTCACCATGGAGTCCAAGCTTCCTCAGACCTCAGTGTGTGGCCCACGCTACACGTAAGCTAACAAGCCTTTTTCCTCCACCTACTGAGCACTGAGATTACAGATATTCAGACTGGTCAGATGTTTTCAAAAGGAAATTTTAGTGTAGCTGGCATCAAATTGAAACTCACCCCAAAATCAAATTGAGAATATTCATTTATACCAGCAGCTGAATCTACAGCGAATTAGGTGACTCTCAGGGTTTATGAAAGCGAAAATCTATTGCTCAGGAATTTTAAGTTTTGTTCTATTTTTGTGGGGTTTTTTGTTTGTTTGTTTGTTTTTCCAGCCCAAAGCTGGCCTGAACTGGTGAACCTTCAGCCTCCTCCCCCCCAAGTGCTGGAACTAGAGGCATGTGGCTGGCTACCACACCCAGCTAAGTTATTTTGAAGGAAGACAGCCATCTGTCTAGGTTTCCACAGGGGCAGAGAAGCTCACAGCAGGGAGCCAGGTGACTTGGAGCCTCTAATGGGAATAAATCCAAAGCTGCCATGGCCTGTCAGCGCGGCTGGGTGAGTCCAGCTGGTTCAGGAAGCACCAAAAATAAGCTACAAAGCATTCAGGGGCCGAGCTTATGGTTTAGATTCCAAACACACTTTGTGTTTATCCCTAAGCAAGGAGCGGGTATTTTTACGTATTTGTGTATGAAGAAGACTAAAGGAAAACCCTGGAGGCAAAGGAATGTAAGTTGTGGGTCAACATATATGCCTGATGCTTAAAAACAGAGATTTAAAGTAAAACACACTGTGAACGCCTCTATCTAGAAAAAGAAGGCAAACCGCCATTCATAACGCCGTGCACCCAGGTACCCTCTACATCCCCGCGGTCCACCCGGAGGCCAGTGGGCTGGAGCTGGGCTTGCCGGTGGGGAACTGAGAGGGGCGGGGAGAGAGGGACAGACACACCTCGCCCGGCGAGGCTGGCGGCCGCCTCGCTGGTCCGGCTGAGGGAGCCGACTCAGGAGACCGAAAGGAGACTCACTTCTCCGGCTCTCCCACCCATGGGCGACGGGCTTGGTCCCCAGCTCCCCCGCGTCCACCTCTGTGATCCCTCCCCGGAGCCCACACCTTCGTCCTTCCCGGACCCCACGCTGCATTCCTTTCGGTCACTGATTGGGACCCGTTACCTGCAGAGCGGCTCGACAATCCTGCAGGTAGTCCTCCATGGTGAAGCCCGAGGTGTGCCGTCGCCCCTCGGCTAGGAGAGGTAACCCGGCCGAGTGCACCCCGCCCCAGACTCAGGGGCTAGCGCCGAGAGTCAGGGGGCGGGACTCGAACCCGCCACACAAGGGTTCGGCCTCCGAACCCCAGGAGGAAGTGCGTAATCCGGCACTCCGGCGTTACCCCGCCCCCAGCGGCGGAGGCTGAGTTCTGAGCCCAGAGACTCATGGGAGGTCAAGGAGGAGCATGTCGTGATGCCTCCTGGGAAATGTAGTCCGGAAGTTCCTAAGTGTCCCCCCCAAGTGCGCAGTTTTCTGAGTGCTATGACATACAAATTGTGTATGTGTCACAATAACTCGCCTTTATGGCACCACTTGCTCTTTCAGATAGGGATAGGTATAGTACCTTTCCATATATTACACCAAGGATCTGTTTGAGATTAATGTAAATTAATCCCTCAATTTTTTTTTTTTTTTTTTTTTTTAATACAAGGTCTTGCTTTGTAGCCCAATCTAGTCTTTCTTCTCAGCTTCCTGAATGCTGGATTCACAACCCTCATGGTTGGGACTTTAAATTACAACATATCTCTATATCTTATTAAAACAGCTTTTAATTCTCCCCCTTTCCCAAACTAACCTAATTGTGATCAGCGATGTGTTTCTTCACGCTAGGAGAACATTAGCTTAATTTTTACCTGTCTTCTTAAAACCTACAGTCGTGCCAACTCTTTCTAACTTCATCATTCTGTAGCCTCCTTTCCGTTACAGCCTGGACAAGTTTCTCCTCACGCCATTCTTGGACTGTTGCAACCGCGATTTTGCTTCCTCTGTTGCAACTGTTCGCTCAGCTTTCAGGATTGTTTGAAGTCATCCCGTGGCAGCCACGCCAATAGAGGAGCCTTCAGAATGTAAGGCTAGGTTCCAACACCCCTCCCTAACTGCCACTTTTGTGCCCCAGCGCATACTACTGCGGGGGGAGGGGAGACATGTCCCTTCATCATAACATGATCCCTCGCTTTTTAATATTATCCCCAGCTTTTCCTGCTCCTCAGGAAGGTGAGCGGGGACGAGGGGGCGTCTTCTTCACCCTGAATGTATTAACCAGGTACACAGCTCAATCATTTCCATTTCTAGCCAAAAAAAAAAAAGACTTGGAAACGAGTCCGGGGGGGGGGAGCTCCAGGAAAATAGAAGCAGTTCCCCTCCCCTTTCATATTAAACGAGTACACATGCAAACACGAAGCTCCTTCTCCCTGCTTCCCTGGCTCCAGAGCAGGGGACTGGGGCAGGCATCCAGGGAGGTCCCAGCAGCTGCTGCCGTCCCGCCGGCTCCTCCCCGCTCATCCAGGCCGCCTGCTTTTCCCGGTTCTCACCAGAGAGGCACACGCGCTCCGTCCCTTCCCGCGGCAGGCGGAGGGAAGAGAAAGGGTCTGTTGTTTTCCTCTCTTCCTTTCTGCCGCTCACCGGGCTGCTGACCAGCTCAGACAGCCCTGATGGAAACCCTCCGCGGCTGATCAGGCCCCCTCCTCCTCCAGGGACCTCGTCCTCGGCTGATGCGTCTTTGTCCCGACGGAGGGAAAGGAGAGAGGGGAAAAAAGAACAAGAAAAACCACAAACTTCCTTTGAAAGCCAGTTTGCAGGCAGGGCCTGGAGCGCACGCCGGAGACTCGGTCGCTCGCGAATCCTGAAGACGCCGGGAGGCCCTGGGAGCGCCGGGCTGCGCCCGCCCGCCCTCACCCACCCACCGCGCGCCGCCGGCCCTCGCCCCCCGCCCCCCCCCGGCGTCCCCGGTGCCGGGCGTGAGTCCGGAAGTGGCCACGACCCAGGCTGGACGCCGCGCGAGTCAACCCGTGTCAAGCCGCGTAAGCTCCCGGGCTGACAGCTGGGAGGCAGCTGGCGCAGGCGGCGCCCCTCGACGATGTCCCCTCCTCCCGCGTCGACCCGCCAGAATTGAGTCCTCGCCCACTCCCGGGACCGCATCCACCTCCTTAAGGTAAAAACTTTGTTCTCGAGCTGTCTTCTTCACCTCCTCCCGCAGCTCTCCTTTCCCTCTCCGGCTGGGGGGAGCTGACACCTGATTCCCAGTCTGTGGTCTCCATCTCGGTCGCTTATAGGATCCCTGCAAAGTCTCTCCCTCTCCTGGGGAGCAAGTATTGCAGTGTTAGAGTTATTCTAGAGAAAATCTCAAAGTATTGTTTCCGTGAAGGTTTGCCTTCAGCTGAGGAGACTGGGTGAGACCAGAAAAGGACTTCAGGGGAGAAGGGTCCTGAGAATGGGTGATGTCTTCTTGAAGCTGAGTATGTACCTATTTAATATGCAGCTTCCACTGTGTAGTAATTTCTGCTGCTGACTAGGACGGGGCCTGGGGTTCTAACCCCCTCACCTGCCCCCACAGGTACTTTCCCACCCCTGGGCCTTGCAAGGTGGAGCCTTCCCTTGCATCCTCTCCCTGCCCATCCCACTTTCTGTGAGACCCCATTCCCCTCCAGTGGTTTCTTGTAACTCCTTTCTTTGGTCAGCTAGCTTTCCCAACCCCCACTTAATTATTGATCATTTCTAACCTTGAGCAGAAAATGAGCCTCACTTCTTCTCTTTAAGCTTTTAAAAATTTCCCAGGCGAGGCCTCTGTTTCAATACTCAATACTCACCCTAAGTGCCATGGGAGAGAGAGGAACAAAAAACAGATAAATTTTGCTAGTGTGATTCTAAATTAATAAAATATAAATTACCTGCAGCTAGCACAAATTACATTTGATCAGGAGAATGACCGATTTGGGTGACAAAACTTGGGTTGTTTTCAGTAACTTTGATGTTTCCCCATAGCCCAGGAAACCTTGAACTAGATGCCCTCCTGCCTCAGTCCCCCAGTGGCAGGGATTGGCAAACCCGAGATGCCACCAGCTAATGTCATTCCTGTCCCCCCCGGGTTTCTCCCAGCCCCGAGACCTGAAGGTTTATAAGAAGCAGGTGAAGGAGAAGCTAAGACAAAGCACAGCGTTCAGGTCAGGCATGTCACAAACCACTTAAAACTCACTTGGGAAACTTGAGGCGAGAAGATTACCAAAAGCTTGAGGCTAGCCTGGGCAACCAGAACTCACCTGTCTCTGTCCCCCAAGTGCTGGAATCAAGGGTGTGTGCAAGCATGCACAATGACACCTATCTCAAATGTCATTTAAAAGAAAAAAAGACAAGATTCCTAATAGACTTAACTCCTCCCTGTTTTTCTTTTTCTTCAGCTAGGGAGCTGGGGATGGAACCAGGGCCTTGCACGTACGTGTTAAAGCATGTGACCTGCTACTAGGCTATACCCCCAGGACTTCCCCATTTTTTTATCTCCAATAATGAGTAGGGAAGGGAGTGAGGAGACTGAAGAGAGACTGTGGCTTTTTGTCTCTATCTGTAGCCTCATCTGTGTGTCACTTGATGCTTAGTGCTGATAGCAGCAAGTAAAAAGGTCCAGTATTCAAAGATACTCCTGCCTCAGCCCCCTTAGTAGTGAAATTAAAGGCCTTTGTCACTATACACAACTAGTGGGTGGATCATATATATATTATTTACAGATATAATATGTGAGCATACATAATATATCTTGCAAACATGTTATATATGAGCATTGTGTGTGTGTGTGTTTTCTGTGTTCTGTAGTACTTTCTCATTGGGACTGCCAACATGCACATGATGACATGGAGACTTATTATTAATTATAAAAGCTCAGTCTTAGTTTAGGTGTGTTTCTAACTACTTTTTAAATCTATGTTCTCCCACAAGGCTTGTTACCTCATCTCCATACTGCTCATCCTGCTTCCTCTGCCTGTGACTGGCAACTCTGCCTTTCTTCTACCCAGAGTCCTCTCTCAGCCTGTGAGTCCCACCTATCCCCTCCTGCCTAGTTATTGTCCATTCAGCTCTTTATTAAACCAATCACAGCAATACCTTCACACAGTGTACAAATAGCCCACAGCAGCTTCCCTTTATGTATGTATACCACATATTCTTGGTTCCCTCAGAAGCCAGAAAAGGATACCAAATCCCCTGCCACTTGAGTTATCGATCCTTGTAAACCCCTCTGTGGGTGCTGGGAATTGAACCTTGATTGTCTAGAATAATAGTATATACCCTTAACCACCGAGCAATCTCTCCAACCCGAGGGTATTTTAAATGTAAGTCAATAATCAGCAGTTTCCTGTTTTATATAAATATCCGAGCGAGAGGATCTCTCTGGGCGCAGGTGCTGCTGGAAACAAATAGGAACTGAAGAGTTGTTTTGCCAACTCTAGATGGAGAGAGCAATCTACTGGAAGGAAAGGTGGTGTTGAGATGGACAGTGGTGGCGCACGCCTTTAGTCCCAGCACTCAGGAGGCAGAGGCAGGTGAATCTCTGTGAGTTCGAGGCCAGCCTGGTCTACAGAGCTAGTAACAGGACAGCTAGGACTGTCACATAGAGAAACCCTGTCTCAAAACAAAACAAAAAATATTCTAAGGTGGTAGGATCAGAGCCTGTGCCTTGGGCATTCCTAATAAGCTAGGTTTGGCCTCTTGTCCTCAATAAGCCTATTAAAAGAGCTGAATTAATAGTGAAGAGTAGGGCTCAACTGGTAAAGGCTCTTGCTGCCCAATAACCTGGGTTTGATCCCAGGTCCCTCATGGTGGAATAGAGAACAAATTTTTGAAAGTTTCCTTCTGGCCACCGAGTGTGTACATACACACACACTAAATAAATGTAATAAAATAATAATAGTAATGAAAAGCAGAAAAAACAACAGCAACTACAGAGATGTATTCAATGTGACCACATTATTAGGTCTAGCAACAAAGTGATTTGGGTACACGCCTAAGTCCATCTACAGAGCCCTAAATCAAGGGTACAGTTTAAGTAGAGCCACAGTTGTACATAGCTAAACAGTCTCGGTAGGTCACTGTGTGCTCCTGCCTTATCCTTATCTTGCAAGGTTGTTGGACACATGTTAGAAGTCTGTGAAATCTCTTTTCCTGGATACAAGTTCCTGTCTGTCTGTCTGGCTGCAAGCATCAGTGTTTTCTCCTCCCAGCTTGACATTCCTGGGGGAAATTTCAATTCCTTGGGTCCATTGTTTCAGTGATGTAACAGACAATGAGATGGAGCACAAAGCATCTCTTTACAACAGTGTTTCTCAACCTGTGAGTCACGACCCCTTGGGGACGGAGTCACATAACCTTTTCAGAGATATCGCCTAACACCATAGGGAAGCACATGTATTTGCCTTATGATCCACAGCAGTAGCAAAATTATAGTCATGAAGTAGCATCAAAAATAACCCTGTGGTTGGAGGTCTCTACTACATGATGAACTATTCTAAAGGTCGCTGGTGTAGAATGTTTTCAGTCTTTTCAGGGATGCCCAGGTTACAGAGTTGCTTATCTAACTCGACAAGCTCTGTGACCTACATTTCCCTTTACTACAGGAAACCCCTCCCTAGCCTTTTAGCTGTACTTGGTTTGGGATTGTGTAAGGTTCTACCACGTCTTCCGAGAGCTGGGCATGATGGTGCACGCCTCTGATATCAGCACATGGGTAACTGACATAGGAACCTCCCTGAAAATTCTAGGAAATAGCCTAGCGTGGTGGTACACACTTTTTTTGTTTGTTTTGTTTTTGTTTTCCCGAGACAGGTAGTACACTCTTTTAATCCCAGCACTGAGTCAGGTGGATCTGAATTTGGGGCCAGCCTGGTCCACATACATAATTCTAGGCCAGCCAAGGCTGCATAGTAAGACCTTGTCTCAAAACTAAATAAATGCAGTCATTTGAGGAACAGGATTTTTTTCTACCTTATCATCTTGGCACATAATTTAGGAGCATGGTGTTAATCTTTTTGCACCTTCATCCCCAAATCATATGATTACTCTCTGGTCCCTGGAGTGATCAGAGAAAAGGTATCCCCAAGGACACGAACAGCCTACATGCTTAGAGTGTTCTGGGAAGGGTCAAGGTTTGTTATCTGTAACTGACACAGGGTGCCTTTAACAAGGCAGGCTAAGCATCACGTAGTAACCGTAAGGATTGTTTTTGTTTATTGTTTTGTTTGTTTGTTGGAGAAGCTAGAGATCAAACCCAGAGTTTCACACATGCTTGGGAAACACTATGCCACTAACCTACTTTAGGATAGTTTTAACATTTTTCTCTCCAGCCCTCTTCCTTCTGTGTTTGGGCGTTGCGCTTACCTTTCAAGTATCTTATTCTGTTTTGTGTGTGGGTGTTTTGCCTGTGTGTCTGTGCCAAAGAGGGCAGTAGGTCCCCCGGAAGTGAAGTCACAGATGGTTGTGAGGGTCATGTGGCTGCTGGGAATTGAACCTGGTCCTCTAGAAGATCAGCCAGTGCTCTGAGGCATCTCTTCAAACCCCTCTGACCTTTCTTTATTCCCTATCATTTTCTGTTTCAGGGAAGCCAGTTCCACCCAGTGTCTTCCATCCCTGCCCTGGCAATCCCATCTGCTCACAGCAAGCTGGAGGGAGAATGAGCCGAAGCCTTCTGTTTTCACACGCTGAGAACAGCTGAAGCTGGAGCCAGAGTGGCCTTCAGCACTGCTCACTTCCAGACTTTTCTTGTCCCTTTGCTCTGTAACTCAATGACCTTCTTATTGTCCAGGTCTCTCTTCTGCCTATCAGAGTTATCTAGGCAAGGTCCCTGAGGTCAAGGGACACCTTCATCCCCCTCACCAACCTAACCTCACTATGGAACCACCTCAGGCAGAGCCCCCAGCACCCAGTGAGGCCAGCAGTGCAGAAGCTGTTGAATCTGAAAACCATGAGGCTCTGTCCAGACCAGAAAAACACCCACAGGACAACCCTCAGGACGAGGGTGTTGTAGGGCCTGATGAGGCAGCTGGACAACAGGAGCGAGGAGACCAGGCTTTGCCACCAGCCCAGGATGCGGACAATCTTGAGTGTCCTCCTCCTGAAGCTAGCTCAAGTCCATGCGGAACATCACCTGAAGTAGAGACAAGAGAGCCGTGTTCTAAGCCACAGGAACTTCCCCAGTCCCCCAGGACCCAACAGCCTGATCTGGATCTCTACTGTGTCAAGTGGATCCCCTGGAAGGGAGAACGGACCCCCATTATCACCCAGAGTACCAATGGCCCTTGTCCTCTCCTGGCCATCATGAACATCCTCTTTCTTCAGTGGAAGGTAAGACCAGAGAGCTCAGCCCGTGAGCTGTGAGGCACTGGACGATTAAGATGTCCACAGATTTGCCTCTCAGATGTGCTTGGTTTATTCACACCACCCTTCCTTACAATGCCATGCGATGTAACGGTTACTGCAGTCTCACACGGCATCTAACCAAGTGGGGGATGGTTGGTTGGGCAGATAATGGTGCAGGGTTCCACTGGGGACTCCTCTCCAGTAAGAGCACTTTGGGAGCTTTTTTCAAGCTTGTACATTGGACGTGAGGTGGGTCCTCCCACATCTGTGGGAGGCCAGGAGGGTGGCTTTGTTGGCGGTCCCAGGAGGTCCTTAAGAGCACTGGCCAGGCCAGCAGCTAGCACTGATAGGTGGGCATATGTGAACTGGGCATTGTTACCGAAAACTTGAGGGACTCTGAAGCCAGACTTTTTGGGAGATGCGAGGCAAGGTCTTACACTATAAGCCAGGCTGGCCTCACCCCCTCATGTTTCAGCCTCCTGAATACTGGAACTGCAGTCATGAGCCCCCATGCCTAGTTTGGACCCTTCTCTCTCTATGTGTCCCTCCTTCGCTGCTAGAGGTAAATGCTCCCTTACCACCCTTCTCCCTTCAGGTGAAGCTGCCCCCTCAGAAGGAAATGATCACATCAGATGAGCTCATGACACATCTTGGTAGGTGACTCACTGGGGGAGATGCTCATTGGAGCTGGGATATGGCATTGAGGGTAAGGAAGAGCCTGTGTCTTTTCTGTAAAGTTGTAGAGTAAAGAGCAAAGATCAAGGTATCAGGATCTTGGAGTTATAGCACCAATTCTGCCTGAAGTTGCTACCTCACCCCTGGTGCTGGGGATCAAACATAAGCCTTGATTGCACTGCGTAAGCACTCTACCACCAAACAGTAGCCCTGGCCTCTGTCCCTAGCTTTCAGTTGGGTGGGTCTTTCACCTCTATAAACCTATTTATTCCTCTGAGACATTAAAGTTCTGGATTAGAGTTTGAAAATCCATGATCTTGAGACATTTCCCCCATTCTCCAGAAGAGGAAGAAGCTGAGCTTCTGGGACAACTGGCAGGGTAGGATAGGCTGATACATTTCCTGTCTTACAGGAAACTGCCTCCTATCCATCAAGCCCCAGGAGAAGTCTGAGGGCCTTCAACTTAACTTTCAGCAGGTGAGGCAAGAGGGCAGTGGACATAGGGTCTGCAGACTTGCAAGAGAACCCTGAACCTATTGAAAAGCCTTTGCGGGTGATTCCTTAACCTTGGTGTCTTCTCCCTGGGGAATGGCATCTCTCTGTCCTGAAAAAAAGAAATTAGGTAAAGAGGGATCCAGGCAGCCCAGCATAGTATTGCATGCCTTTAATCCCAGCACTTAGGAGGCAGAGGAAGGCGGATCTCTGTGAGTTCAAGGCCAGCCTGGTCTACATAAGACAACCAGGCTATATAGTGAGACCTTGTCTTGGGGGGAAAATAGAGGGGATTGAAATAAATGGGCTGTAAGAAAGCCAGCAATGGAAAGAGGATTTCTGATTTGTGTCTGGAGTGGGGGGTGAGAAGTAGGAAGGCTAGACTAGCCATCCTTGTCTTTTCTCCCACCAGAATGTGGATGATGCAATGACAGTGCTCCCTAAACTGGCCACAGGTCTGGATGTCAATGTGCGATTCACAGGCGTCTCTGACTTTGAGTACACACCCGAATGCAGCATCTTTGACTTGCTGGGCATACCTTTGTACCATGGCTGGCTTGTTGATCCACAGGTGAGGACAGGAGGTCCTGTGAATCTCCACTAGCTCAAGCTTGCCTGAATGAGGGGAAAAAAAAAAAAAAAAAAAAAAAAAGGCAGGGGCATCTAGGGAGGGGTGTGATTAGTTTGATTAGTTTGAGGAGTAGTAAGACTTAGAGCCTGAACTGATGCAGGGCTCCTTGCATTGTAATATTGTTGGGTGGAGTCTCATCCCAATACAGGGAAACCATACACAAATAAGATCAGGTCTTTGAACATCAGAAGTTCAGGAATCTTTGATCATAGAGTCGCAGTCCAATGGGCTTGGTGCATTTCCTTCCTTTAAAAAAACATCAGTTTGTTTTTGCCCCACCCCATCCTTCTCCCCAGAGTCCCGAAGCTGTGAGTGCTGTTGGGAAACTGAGTTACAACCAGCTGGTAGAGAAAATCATCACCTGTAAACACTCCGGTGACCCCAACCTCGTGACAGAAGGTGACGGTGATGCTCTCTTTCCTTGTGATCTCATGTGAAGGGAAGGGCGGCTGAGTAGTCTTAGTATTGTTTTTTAATACAGAGAGGTGACTTTTTTCCTTTTTTCCTGATACAGGGGCTCATGTTGTTCATGCTGGCCTCGAAATCACCACATAGCCCTTCTGAGAGCTCAAATCACAGCTGTACACTTGTATTGAGTGATTGAGTGAATACAGTCAGGCTTTAGGAAGGGGTTTTATCACAACCCTGAGGACTGGGGCCAATAAGATCTCTCATAGCTCAGGGTGGCTTTGTAGCTGAGGGTGGTTTTGAACCTCTGATCCTCCTGCCTCCAGCCCCTGAGTACCAGGATCACAAGCATTATCAAGCTTCAACTTGTATGTGTATGCCATGCTGGGAATCAAACCTGGGGCCTTGTACATGCTAAGCATAGAATCTAAATCTGAAGCCTTACCCCAGGGTGGGGGTCGGGCTTTTCAGAATGGGGCTCTGGAGGCTTCTGGGGCTTTTTGGACAAACCTTGTTTTGTTTGCGTTGGGGCCAAGCTGGGGGTTGTGGGGTTTTAGTTGTCTTGGCACAGGGTCTCTATGTAGCTAACCCTTGGCTAACCTGGAATTGCTGTGTGGAGCATGCTGCCCTCAGACTCACAGACATCAGCCTAGCCTACCTCTGCCTCCCCAGGAGACCAGAGGGGTGAGCCACCACACCCAAGGCTGCAGTGGGGATCTTTACATGCTTGCCAAAACATCTAAGATTGAGAGTACCCCCAGCCCTTACTTGTTTTGCATTTTCCTATCATGGGTTTGGATTTAATCCAAGGTTCACCAGCTTTATGCCTCTGGCAGGCTTGATTGCAGAGCAGTTCCTGGAGACCACTGCGGCTCAGCTGACCTACCATGGCCTGTGTGAGCTTACAGCCACTGCTAAGGAAGATGAACTCAGTGTCTTTTTTCGAAACAACCACTTTAGCACGATGACTAAGCACAAGGTGATGGGGCTTTGGAGGAGGGGAGCAGGAACAGTGTCATTTCCCTGTGTCAGGCAGGATAGAGTGGGTTAAGCCTCGGTAACAGATAACCCCCCAAAATCCTTGTGGTTTACCACAAGTGTCTGTTTCTAATTCATGATGTATGTCCAGTGCCAACTGGCTGCATCCTGCCTCAGTCCGTCCTCACTGTGGGACTCAGGTTGATAAAAAGAAATCTATATATGTAGGAATATGTGCAAGAAGAGAGAACGATACAGTGCGCTCCTTCTCAGTGCTGCCCGGGAACGACACTGGCCAGAGCAGGCCATGAGGAGTAAGCCTGCTGCCAAGGGACAGAAACGGGACAGTGGCGCTTTAGACTTAGAAGCCGCAGCTCTCTAGGAATTGAGTAGGAGAGGCTGGTCCTGTCCTGCTTCCCTACCTGCACCTAGACTCTCATTATACAGCCCTGGCTGGCCTGGGACTCTGAGGTCTGCTGGGATTAAAGGTGTGCACCTAGCCTTTCCTTGAACTTCTCATCTTCCTGCCTCTACCTCCTGGGGGAGGGGGGGGTGGCTAAGATTGTAGTCACGTGTCATCACGCCCAGTTTTTCCGGCTCTCAAAAGGGTTTATCTCTAGAGACATCAGCAAACAGAGAAGCAGAGGAAAGAGGGGAGGAAACTGGATTTGGTGTGCTACTATACCCCGAGGATTCCTTAACCAGGAGTGTTACAGAACACTCACCTACATTCCGGCGTCCTTCCCTGGTTCCCAAAGCCACACATACTTAAGAAATTTCCAGTCAGCACTGATTCAGAGGGTCTCTTGACTGCCCTTGGCTGTAAACTGCCTCTGTATCACCTGTCCCATCAATTTTCAGTCTTTTCGGCTTGTGGGAGGGAGGGGTATGTAAGGGGATATATGCTGAGGACCAAATCCAGGGAACTTGGACTTGCCAGGCTACCGAGAGACAAGTGCACTAGCCCTGAATGTCTTTTTCTTGCAGAGTCACTTATACCTACTGGTCACTGACCAGGGCTTTCTACAGGAGGAGCAGGTGGTGTGGGAGAGCCTACATAATGTGGATGGCGACAGTTGCTTTTGCGACTCTGACTTCCACCTGAGTCATTCCCTAGGCAAAAGCCATGGAGCAGAGGGTGCGGGTGGCTCTCCCGAGAAGCAGCTGCAGGTGGACCAGGTGTGTGGGGCCCTTCAGAATCCATTGGCACCTGAGCTGTTTCCTAGAAGTGACCTGCATGCATTTTATTGGCTGAAGGCTGCCCCACAGCCACACCTCTTCATGTTACCTTAGGTCATGGCCTTGTTTGGGGTGTATTTCCTGGCACCACAGATAATAGACTTGACTGTGTTTGACTAGAGGGAGGAGAATTTAAAGGAAACATGCTTTAGAAATTTAGCCTGAATCTGCATCCTTTGGTCTTAGCCCATCTTGTGACTTTTTTCTCTCTAGGACTATCTTATTGCCTTGTCCCTGCAGCAGCAACAGCCACAAGGCATGCTGGGCCTTAGCGACCTGGAACTGGCCCAGCAACTTCAACAAGAAGAATATCAACAGCAGCAAGCAGTTCAACCTGTGCCAACAAGGGCCCCTTCGCCCCAGGTGAGCCTGCCTCTCTAGGTAGGCAGGGGTGTATTGGCTTTGCTTGGTGCAGGATGCATATGGTTTCAGGTCTCTGCAAGTTTTCCCTCATAAACCCTTCTGAGCTACTTGACCCCTGATGTCTTTGACCTCTACCAAGGTTATCGAATAACTAGCTGCTAAATCCCACACAGGGGAGAGGAGCCACATCTGGACGCCCAGCTGGAGAGCGGAGACAGAGGTCGAAGCTTGAGTCAGACTGTGTTCTGCTCTAACTCTGCCCCACCCATCGTTGACCCACCCCTTCTTTCAGAGGCAGGATCCCCCACCTCAACCCCTGAGGCATACAGGGTAACTTATGTGCCGCTGGGGGTCAGAGCAGGCAACAGATGCCAAGGTCAAACTTGGTTCGGTCCTTGCCTTTCTGTGTTGCTGTCTTCTCTTCGAGCCAGGGCCACATGGGATGTGGGGCTGGATAGTCTCTGGTTCCCAACTCCCAACGACTATACCCACCCAGGCTGATAGCTGAGAAACATAACTGGAATGAATGTCTGTGTCCCTGCCTGCCAGGTTGCCCCTGGCTACCGCACAGGCCCATCTCGGTTTGTTTTAGGGTTTGATTTGGGTTTCTATCTTTATTATTTGTAATGCCTTCCTAGGGGGCTGGAAATAAAAACTTCTTTACTGAGATTTGTTGTTTTCCTACCCTGGGGCAGTGGGGTTAAATATTTGACCCAGTTGAAGAATGTGACCGGGAAAGGCAGGGAGAAGTTGCCTGTCATTTCTCACAGAGCCAGCAGGGGGAACCCAAACGTCGCCTCTTCCCTGGTTTTGGTAGATGTTTTGTGAGAAGTACTGTTCTCAACTCTAGTTGGAGGTGAGTTTCTAAATCCCTGCATGGACAGATGAACTAGGGGAATGTTACTGAGATTTCCAAGACTAGGAGTTCATGGAGACGGCCCTTAGATGGCCCTTTGCTAGTTCTGATGCCCTGGTGTGTGTCCTTAATTGTCTTGCCTGAGACTTCCTGGGGAGAATAATGAAATTAGTAGGGAGGCGCCAGGGTGGGGGCCTGTTGATAAGTGGTAAAGTGACTGCTGGGGCAAAACCAGGGCTCCTGTTGAATGGCTAAGTACACTTCAAAGATGCCGCCATCTCCAAGCCTCTTCTTGGCCCATGTCCTGATCCAACCAAATTAACCCAGAAACAAAAAGACAGTGAATTTGCCAAAAGGTTCAACTACCATGGAGATGTCATAGCCATGGTATGGATTGATGAGTGGGACAGACATTATCAAGGACATCTTAATACTCCTCCCCAAAATGGAGGTAGAAGACATCACTTTGAGATGAGGGAAATATAAGGATAGCAAAGAAATTTAGAGCAAAGAAGTTAGGATATATGCTGTTCCTTTGGGAGTCTCCCATGTGTTCAACCAAATATGGGAATCTCAGATTCTTGGATATCATGTCAGGGTGTGGCTGGAAGGTCTTAAATGTCTTCAGCTCTGCACAGGGCCAGTAGGGCTGAGTGACAATCCCCTCTCACTGCATCCTGCAGGTGAGGGAATCAGTGTTAGTTAGAAAAACTCATTTCCACCACCATGGTCCAAGCATTCTAACAGCTCATCATCAAGGAAAGTCTCCTCTCTGTTGCCAAGTCCCACGCTCAACCAAAGGAAACGTTAGGGGTGGGGAGAGCTAGGATGTCAGGGCTCCAGATGAAGAAATAGCCAAGTTTAGTCTGGTAATAGTGGTGCATTCAGCACTCAGGAAGCAGAGGCAAGTGGGTTTGTAATTTTGAGGCACTCTGGTCTATAGAGTGAGTTCTAGGACAGCCAGGGCCACACAGAGAAACCCTGTCTTGAGAGAGAAAGAGTTTCACCTGCAGGGAAGAATACAAAGATTTCCCAAATTTCTTCTTGAACTCAGCCCGAATGCTCAGAAGATCGGTCTCGCTTCGGGAGATAAGGATCCGCATCAGCACTTGGAAATTGGGCTCAGTTTCCTGTTAAAGGAATAGAGCCGGGAGTGTGTGGCAGGTACTTAGGGGATATTCTCATTGAGGGCAGGGGGAGAATGGCATGGTGGGGGGGTGGGAAGCAGAGGCAAGGTAGAATTAAGGGGAAGCAATAATTTCAGAGCCAGAGTCACTGTCTGTACTCACAAAAAGACAACAAATAAATGTTTTGTTTTTTGTTTTTTCTGGGGAATCAAACCCAGGGCCTTGAGCTTGCTACTTATCACTGAGCTACATCCCCGATCTCAGCTGGCCTTAAATTCAGGGTGCTGGGACTAGGGTACTAGCCATCGTGCCCAGCCCATGTGTGTGTCTGTGTGAGTGTATTCCACGCATATGCAGATGCCTGTGAAGGTCAGAAGAGGGTCTTACATCCCCTGGAGCAGTTTCAAACTGCTAGACATGTGTGGCAGGAACCAAACCTGAATCCTCTGGAAGACCAAGAAATTCTTAACCACCAAGCCATCTCTCCAGCTGCATGGTTGTGTTTTTGAGACAGTGTCTGGTGTACCCTAGACTGACCTTAGACTCACAGAGATCCACTTGCCTCTCTGCCTCTGGACTGTTTGGATTTAAGGTGTGGACCACCATGCTTGAGAAGCCCTGAACTATTGATCCTCTTGTTTCTACTTCTCAGGTTCTGGGACTACAAGTGTATGCCTCTGGTTAGTTTTTCAAAACAGGGTTTGTCTGTGTAATAGCCCTAGCTGTCCTGGCTAGCTCTGTAGACCAGGATGGCCTCGAACTCACAGAGATCTGCTGGAGATGAAAGGTGAGCACCACTACCACCCGGCTGCAAGTATATGTCTCTTGACTCTACTGACTCCGCAGAATCCCGGTACACTAAGATGTGTGTTTGTTCCTTTTTATGTGTGTGCTCATAGGCTAAGCAAGTGTTTTGCCACCGAGCCACTCCTAACACACAGATTTGTTTTTATCTCAGGAACTCAGACAGATAACCACAGGTCTTCAAATGAATCCTGGTGTTGACTCATTATAATGAACCAGGCTTTCTCAGTTAAGTATAATAATCTGTTGTCAAGATGGAAATCTCTGGATGATTGAACAAGGGCGTGTATATAGATTGTCCTGTGAATAGTCATCAGTTGAGCATGATGCTGAAGGCTTCTCTGTCTACCAAGATGTGATAACTCCACCTTTTATATATTACACTTCCTTTTTTATTTTTATCTTTTGTTTTTTTCAGCACAGGGTTTCTCTGTGTAGCCTTAGCTATCCTGGCACTTGGTCTGTATACCAGGCTGGCCTTGAATTCACAGGTCTGACAGCCTCTGCCTTCCCAGTGGATTAAAGACATGTGCCACCACTGCCTGGCTATTACACTTCCTTTAAACATGCACATATATTCTCAGAGTAGACATAGTTCTTCTAGCAGAATTACTAGATTCTGTTGGTTAATTACTCAAACCAAAGTGATCACTTTGTAGATCAATTATATACCGGGCACTTTTTGTTTTTCTTTTTTGAAACAGGATCTCACAATGTAGCCCAGGCTGTCTTGGAACTTTCTATATAGACCCAGCTGGTATCAAACAGAGATCTGCTTGCTTCTGCCTGTGTGTGCTAGGATTAAAGGAGTGCACCAACATGCTCACCAGACATCGTTTATAGTGGTGCAAAGACAGCTGTTAGGGGCTGGAGAGATGGCTCAGTGGTAAAGAGCACTGGCTGCTCTTCCAAAGGACCTGGGTTCAATTCCCAGCAACCACATGACAGCTCATAACTGTCTGTTCCAGGGGATCTGACACCTTCACACCAATATGCATAAAAATAAAGTTAAATACAATACATAAAAAGTCTGAAATAAAAAGAAAAATAAGATAAAACTAAAAAAAGAGAAGATGACAGTTGTGGCCTTGGACATATGCAGCAAGGGTTGTACCATCAAGCTCTCTCTGAAGCTTGAGGATAAATAGCAGGAATGAAATCCAGCCAAGGTGGCCAGGCATGATGGGACACGCCTTTAATCCCACTCAGTACTTGGGGAAGGCAGTGTTAGAGGCTAGCCTGATCTATATAGTTTTAGGAACGCCAGGGCAACACAGAGAAACCTTGTCCTGAAAAACCAAGTAAATGAATAAATCTAGCCAATGTGGAGAAAGGTCTGTGGGGCTCGGGGCATTTACCATGTCTTTCATCTAATTGAACAAGGACAGTGCATAGTTGTGAGGGCTAATTCAAATGTAAGTAATACGCTGGACACAGCTCCAAAGGACAGGAAGGCCTGGCTGACCTGGGCCTTACACAATGCCCTCCTACTTCTGCCTCCTGAGTCTTGGGATTAAGGTTTTCACCACCATGCCCACCTATTATTCTTTATACAGCACTGGTTCTCAACCTGTGGGTTGTGACCACTTTGGGGGTCTATGGACCCTTTCATAGGGGTCAAATATCAAATACTCTGCATATCAGATATTTACATGATGATTCATAATAGTAGCAAAATTATAGTTATGAAGTAGCAATGAAATAATTTTATGGTTGGAGTCACTGTGACGTGAGGCACTGTATTAAAGGGGAACAGCATTGGGGAGGGTGAGAACCACTGTGACAGTTACCTCCTTTCTCTCAGACAAATACTGGACAAAGCAAGCTCTTCTTTTGGTACATAGACATTAAGGCAAACAAACTTTAGTGCTTCGTGGGTAACTAACTTAGTTCTAAGCAGAGCTCACTACCCATGACAAGACAATCTGTAAACACAGGGAAGATGGCAGCTTGTAGGTTCCACATAGGTTCCACCAGGCTTGCATCTAAAGAGTGTGCTTTGCAGCTAAAGAGGAAGCAGTGTGCCTCTTACCTGAAGGGCTTGGTGAAGTTTGTCAGCAAAGTATAGTGCTGTGTTTCTCATTATGGACACTAGAAGCAAAAACAAACAAAATAAAAAGGGTTAGAGAGCCAAGTCTAGAGCTACAGCTTCCCATCCCAGTAAAACCCCTCCACACATCCTGAGTAGGTACCTACCTAGGCTGAGCAGAGCCTGCTGAGCATCTCCATGGAAACGGTTCTGGACAGCATCCTCTAATTCTTGCCCAGTGCATCTCCGATACTGATCAAATACTTTTGGTATGTATAGGGAGTGGTTAGAAAGGTAAGTTGGTGTGTGGGGCTGTTAGCACAGGGAAGAGGGCCCTCTCCACCCCTGGCTGCCACACTCATCAGTAGAGCAAGCTGGGTGGGGATAAGGAAGCTTGGGTACCTCGGATGAGGTGTTCAGGACTTCGTTGTGTAAAGATCCGGACCCATTGACCTGCCATACTGGATCCTCTGGTCTGCTGGAGTGCCTAGGGAAGAGGAAGGGATCAGTGAGGAGTGGGGTAGCATTGTTTGGAGCCTGGAAGCCTTGGTTCTAATGTCCCCAAAAATCTGTGGTGAAGGGAACTGGACTGAGGGTGAAAAGGGATAATTTATTCTGTGCACTTGGGAGGTGGAGGCAGGCCAATCTCTAAGTTGGAGGTCAGCCTGGTCTACATAATGAGCCATACAGACCCTGACTCAAATAATAATAGTAATAATAAAAAGGCAGGATTAAGAAGGATTAAGAAAGGGGCTCTACTCAACTGCTCCCACAAGGAGCTAATCCCTAAGATAAGGTCTTGGGAGTGTTGCTTGATCCAGTGCCCACAGGAGGAGAATTTGCCAGCAGATGTCGTTATATTCTGAGAACTCAGGAGGCAAAGGCAAAGAAGGCAGGAGCAGGTCTCCAGCACAGATGGGTGTACGGGATCTGGGCCCTAAGATATGGTCCAGGAGGGAGTCTGTACCAACTGCATGGCTATGCACACTGAAGTCCTCACCTGCACATCTTGCTCTTCCAAGTTGTAGTCAATGACTCCAGAATATCTCTCACGGCCCCCCTAAGAGGAGACACTGTTCTTAGGGGGTTCCATGGAGGGGCAGAGTTTTGTCCAGACCCTGGTCTCTCTCAAGCTCTCCCTTGTCACAAGACAACAAAACTCCCTACTCTGGTCGGTCCCCAACCTGAGGAGCACAACTCCCTTCCCTGGCAGGCCAAGCCTCACCTTGCTTAAGGTGAGAAGCAGGTCCTGCAAGATGCCATTGGTCTCAGTCCTGATATCTTCCTCAGCCTCCACCTGGAAATCTGGGGCAGGAGCAGGGGCCTTTTGACTCCTTCTGAATTTTCCCGAGGTAGATAGCTTTAGGACTTACCAAGTGCTTGACCAACTGGACCCTAAGAGTCTTCTTTCTTTTTTCCCTCAAAGATTTATGTTTTTATTTATGTGTATTGGGGGGGGGGAGGTGCCCAAGGAGGCTAGAGGACAATAGGTATCAGATCCCCTGGAGCTGGAGTTGTGAGCCATCCAATGTGCATGCTGGATCTGAACTCAGGTCTTCCTTATGCTCTTAGCTGCTGAGCTGTCTCCCCAGCCCCCTAATCATCCATCTATCTCCTATGCAGAGAAGCTTGATGGTTGATGGTCCCCAGGATGGGTGCCATCATGGTCACCCTGAAAATGTTCCTAAGCAGCAAGTAGTGAAAATTACTTCATCTCCAGAACTTCCCACTGGGAATTCCATCCATTGTTAGACAACCAGCAGTAACTAGAGTTAGGGAATCCCTGATTATGAAGCAAGATGGTTAGGGCCTAGCCCTGTATCCCATATTCAAGAGGTGATGGATGAGGTAGGGTGTGAAGCAGAGAGAGCAGGCGTGGGAGAGACAGAAGAGTCTGGACTAAAGCACTTGTCTAGCATGTGCTGAAACCCTGGGTTCAATCTCAAGTGCAGAAAGAAAGGCAGGGGTGTGGGGGAGAAGGGAGAGAGGAAGAGAGAAACCAAAACATGTCAGCCATGGAGGCTGCAAGCCAAGCACTTGGGGGCTGTCTTGAGGATCATGAATTCCAAGTATTCGTCTACATGAAACTATAATGTCTCAGGAGAAGGGGTAAAAGGAAGATGAAAACAGAATCAAGAGAAGATGAAAGGAGGAGGGAGAGGGTGAAGAACACAGACCGGCATTAGGCATCTAATGAGAACTGAAGGAAAAGAGGTACACGTGGTCACGAGGACATGCCTGTGGCAAGGTGAGGGTGGGAAAGGCTGCTCACAAATTAGTAGGTGAGGCAGGGTCTGATAGGGGACAGCATGACTTAAAAAAAGGTTACCACCTGTCCCCCAGGCAGCAGCGAGACCTGGGAAGGTAACAAGGGGCCCTTTGGGACTGTTACAGTGCCTAATGTCATTACTGCGAAATTTGCCCTGGGGCGCCAGACTATGTTAATCATTGTTTCTCTTCCCTTAATGATTGCATACAGCTCTATCCCCTGGGGAGACTGAGGCACTGGCAGTAGTGGGGGGGAGGGCAGAGTCTGGGAGCAGAGACCTTAAGGAGATAGAATTTGGTCAGTCAGGGTTCCCAATCTTCAAGGACTATAAGAGAGGAGAGGATTGTCCCGATGCCTTCATACATTCTTACCATGCTTATATACTGCCAGGCACTCCTGCAGTCTGGGCGCTGCTCGGGTGGCAAGGATTTCCAAGGCCACGTCCTCAGCAGAACCTGAGGCCTACAAGAAATTGTGAAGCCACTTGACACTGGGCCATATCATTAGCCCAGCATGATGGCCCACAGAGGGCTGGAGGGGAGGCACAAGACCTTTCTCCATCTATCGGTCACAATGGGGTATAGAAATCTCTAGGTCCACTGTCTGGAGAGGTCTAGGCCAGTTAACTGTCCTTCCTCTCAGTTGGTATCCTTTTCCCCCAGACAGCACAGCAGTTGTCCTCTCCTGGTACCTTCAAGGCTGTCCTCAATTCCTGGGCATCGAATTGGGCTGCAGGCTGTAGGAGAGCCACCACAATTTTCTCCAGGTTGCCAGAGAGTGCTGCCTGTAAGGACTTCAGTAGATCCTGCAGTAGGTCCCAGACAGGCAGGCAGACAGACATAGGTCAAGGGAGGCCCTAAATCATGGGAAACTTTGGCTGACTTTTATCCCAGGCCTGGCTACCAAGTCCCTGATTAGCCAGGAAGGAGGGGCTGGCCATGGCTAGGCCTCAAGTCCTCGAGGGAGACTGCCCTGTGCACAGCTCCTGGAAAGTCATCGGTCCCACCTGTTTGGTTCGCTCTTGGAAGGCTCGAGAAATGAGCTGTCTTTGCTCTCTGCTCCGATTGGTCAGTACATCCACAATGGCGCTGTGGGTCACACCTGAAGCAAGACAAACCTGGGCTGCAACCAGGGAATTCACAGCCGTGAATAATTCCTGACTCCCCCAGGAAGAGACCTAAGTGTAGGGAAGGGAAGACCCATTCAGAGGGCCCCGAGGTTAAGAACACGTTCTGTTTTCTCAGAGGGCCTGAGTCCAGGGTCAGGTGACTCATAAGCACCTGTAACTCCAGCTCCAGGGAATCCAGTATCTTCTGGCCTCCATGGGCACTGCACTCACATATGCAGATGTTGGGGGATATTTGATAATGCTGTGAACCCCAAGTTAGCATTTTCATTAAATAAAATTAACCTTGGGTCAGGAGGCTGAGTTAGTAACGGAAAGTAATCACAGAGCAGCAGAGGGACAGGAAGTAGCAGGCAGGGATTTAGGTGTTGTTTTGGTGGAAAGGAAGGACAGGCTTTTTGGGAGATGCCAGCAAGGGAGAGAAGATTAGCTAGTTGCTACTCAACCTCTCTGAGCTAGCAAGTTTTCACCCCAGCCTTTGAATCTCAAGTTTTATTTATAAATAGAATGATAAGGATTTAGTTAAAGCTGCCTTTAGCAGCAGTGACAGAGCTGCTGCAGGAACGGAAGGGAGGGAGGGAGGGAGGGAGGGAGGGAGGGAGGGAGGGAGGGAGGGAGGGAGGGAGGGAGGGAGGGAGGAATTCCCACCAGGCTGGAGCCTGAGCAGCCAGAACACTGCCAGAACGGGAGGCCACTAACCGGATTGCAACTGCTGGCTGAGATATCAGTAAAGTGCAGCCACTGTGCCAAAGACAAAACAACATGTGTCCATACACACACTGGCTTAAATAATGACTGCACAGATGGCTCATCAGTCAGCACTGGCTGCTCTTACAGAGGAACCCCAGTGCAATTCCCAGTGCCCACAGCTGTCTGTAACTCCAGTTCTATGGGATCTAACACCTTCATACAGACATACATGCAGGCAAAACACCAATAAAATAAAATAAAATTGGGAAGAAAATGTATTGCATGAGACACTGGATGTGATAAATCACGCCTGTAATCCCAGCACCAGGGAGATAGAGGAAGGAGAATCTGGAGTTCAGTCATGTTGAGGGACAGAGTGAGTTTGATTCTAGCCTGGGTTATGGAAGGAAGGAAGGAAGGAAGGCATATAGAGCCAGGAGGTGGTGGCACATTCCTTTTATCCTAATGCTTGGGAGGTAAAGGTAGATGGATCTCCATGAGTTTGAAGCAAATTCCAGGACAGATAGGACTATACACAGAAACCCTGTCTTGAAACAAACAAACAAAAAGGAAGGAAATAAATAAATATGACTCAAATCCTCATTCAGACAAAAGTCGCCTAGTATAGTGGTTTCAAAAAGGAAAGAAAAACAAAACATAAAGGAAATAAAATTTTTTAAATAAAAAGTTTTTTTTTGGGGTGGGACACATTAATTTGGCTTAGAACCCCGAATATTCTGTTATGAGCTATGTGACGTTGGGCAAGCCTCATAATCTCTCTGAGCCCCAGTTTCCTCCTGTGCAGAATGGAAATAATAAGCCTGACCTCACAAGGTGTTGTGAGACTGGGTATGACACACCATCACAGAACTTGACATGCTAGAATCAAATAGCTCACCGATACTCCCAGAACATCCTTAACTCTACCTTCCTTGCTCCTTAGAAAGATTTTTTTAAAGCCATGTGGTGGTGGCTCATACCTTTAATCTAAGCACTCATGAGACAGAGGCAGGCAGTTCTGTGAGTTTGAGGCTAGCCTGGTCTACAGACTGAGTTCCAGGACAGACAGACAGACAGACAGAGAAACTCTGTTTTGCAAAAAAAAAAAAAAAATTAAACACTTATTTAATAAGTGTGTAGTGGTGGAGAGTAGAACATCAGCTGTTCTTCCAGGGAACCCTAGTTCAATTCCCAGCACCCACATGGTGATTCACAAACCTCTGAAAGTACAGTTCCAGGGGCTCTCACCCCCTCTTTTGGCTTCCATGGACACCAGGCTTGCTTGTGGTGCACAGACATATATACAGGCTAAATGCCCATATATATAAAATAAAATAAATAATATTTTTTTAAAGAGCGAAAAAGAAAGGCAGATAGACCTGTAACGGGGCATGATGGCTCTTGCCTGTAATTCCATCCTTTGGGGAACTGCTGTAGGGGATTTCTGCAAATCTGAAGCCAGTTTGAGATAGAGTGAGGCCCTGTCAGGTGTGGTGGTGCACACCCTGGATCCTAGCACTTGAGAAGCAGAGGCAGGTGGGTCTGAGTTGGAGGCTAGCCTGGTCTCCACAGCGAGTTCCAGGCTAGCTAGTGTTACAAACAAGAGACCCTATCTCAAAATAAAGTAAAATAAAAATCATATCAAGAAGGAAAGGTAGACCCTCAACACCCAGGGCAGGGGCTTACCTTGGCCTGTAATGGCCTTCAGCAGCTTCTGTACATCTTTGTCCACACTGAAGCTCAAGAAAGTCCTGAGGGTGCCCAGGGTCCCCCAGGCTGCAGTCTGCAAGAGCATGAGAGTGTGGCGTCAGAAGGAGGGAGCCTGCCTCCTCCTACTTCTGTTTTGTTCATTTATTGTGTGTGCATGGGAGGTCAGAGGACAGTCCAAGGGACTGCGTTGTCTGCTCCCAGATGGGTTCTAAGGACAAACTCGGGTCACCAAGGCTTTCACCCAGCAGAGTTCTCTCCAATGCCATTTCCACTTTCCTCTTGAGTGGACGAATTGAAATTTATTGTTGGGGCTGGTGATGTGGCTCAGTGGCAGGGCACTAACTGGGCAGGTGGAAGGCAAGCCCAATCACCAGCCCTACTGAATAAATCAATGTTTCTGTCCCAACAGCCTGTACCTTGTTGGCAAGGCCCAGGGAGCTGAGGATCTCCTGGGTCAGGGATGCTCCCAAGGTTCCCCTGCTCACAGACATGGTTCTGCTGGCTTCCCTGTGGGAGGAAACAGAGGTTAGCTGAGGGGAGTGTCCCATTTCGGCCTGTTGATGGCCTCTAATCTGCAGCCTGGACTCTCTCAACCCATCCCTTTCCTTTGGTGCAGAAAATAAATGAATGAATGATAGACTATCAAACTTCTTTGCAGGTGTGAGAATGGAAGATGAGGGCAATAAGAAGGAAGAGACTACCTTCTCTGTTCTGGCCTTTCTTTTGCAAGCCAGATTTGGCTGGGGAGACTGTGGGAGCCAGCATCCACCAATGGATTCCCTCCACCCAAGGCCCCTGAACCCTGGTCTGAGATGATGCCCCCTTCTGAGGCTCAGATCCCTGCCTTCCCCGGCCTGGATTCTCAGGCAGCTGAGGTGATGGGCAGGGTGGGAGACAGCTCCTTATCACCCCTCCTCCTGCAACCCTGCCTATAGCAAGGCTTCCTGCCTATCTGCCCCCCCCAGGAGTCTCAGATGGGGTCTCTAGATCACCAGGTGTAACCTGTATGTGTCCTTGTAGGAACATGGGTACCTGGATTGACTAGACTCTCCCAGCATGATGCTGGGAAAAAGAATAATCTACTCCTCCCTCAGTCGGTAAATTCTCCCTCCCCCAGATAAGGGCTCGGTTGCAGGACTTACCCCAAAGGTGCTAAGGTGAGGTGGGTGTTGAGGCCTGGTGGTTTGCCTGTGTAGGCACCAGCTCCTGTGTAGCCTGGTGGTGGAGAGGAGGAGTGAGGAGCCCAGGCTGAACAGCCAGTCAGATGACCTCTCTTGCAGACCAGTCCAGCTGTCTCTGACTCGGCCCCTCCCAGACGTGGGAGAGGACCAGGCTGTACAGGGTCTACAAGCAAACACCTCCCTGCCTAGCATCTCTCCTCCCAGGACCTGGCCCTTAACCCACGCAAGCGAACTCCGCTCAGCCTCTCAACTCAGCCGAGGAGGACACAGGAGGCTTTGTGTGTTGCTTTCCCTGCGGGGCCAGGTTGGGACCACGGAAACCTAGTCTCTTGAGTCTTGCTTCTGACTTGGCTCTACCACAGGCTCCAGCTCCCTGGGGGTAAAGGGGGGAGGCGGTAAGGGGAATGTAGGTCAGGCAGACTCCAGGCTGATTTCAAGGTTGATAGAGAAAAACCTGTTGGGACACATACCATTAGGGCACCCCAGCCTGCTCCCCACAGGGGGTCCCAGCCCTGAAGTTTCTGTGATTATGCCTTAGGAAAGCCAGCCAGAATGGGTGGGGAGGCAAGGCGATTGTTTATATTTGTGGGGAAGGAAGGGCGCACAGGTAATCAGGGGTGAGGGCAGAGTCAGAGTCAAGAAAGAAAAATGCAGAGGGTGTTCCCTGCAGACCGGCACCGTGGGAGCACCTTGCTCCCAAAGGCAGCCAGCAGATGGAGGAGGATCCCAGGGCCCGGATTTCTCGGTCTCCTGCCGCTGCCTTTTAGCTGCCAGTGATGCAATCCCGACAGCTGAGCCCGAGGAGGCTGTCAGCACACAGCCTCAGGACCGAGCAGCAGGTGCTCAGTCCCTGGGAGCCTAAACAGTTGCTTAAACCGCGGGGCTGGCCCCTGAAGGCTCAGGGAGACATCTTTTTCCTGCTTCTAGTCCTCTACCACTCTCCAAACCCAGGAATGGCCCTCTGCGATCTCCCAGAACCCCCGAAGGGGAGAGTTACAGCATACAGCCACTGCTATCCAACACGGGGAAATAAGCTTGGGGATACTGGTAATGAAATTCCACGATGGCAATCATATTCTGATTTTCTTCCTCATTAAAGTGGAAAACATACTCCAGCTTTAGAATCAGAGCATGATCAATCTCTAATTTTTGTTTTATTTACTTACTTGTTTCGAAACACGGTCTCTCTATATAGTCTGGGCCGCCCTGGAATTCACTATGTAGACCAGCCTGGCCTTGCCTTTGCCTCCTGAGTGCTGGGATTAAAGGCATAGCACCATGCCCAACAATGTCTAATTTTTTTCTTTCTGAGCAGTGGTGGTCCACACCTTTAATCCCAGCACTCAGGAGGCAGAGGCAGATGGATTTCTGTGGTTTCAAGGCCAGCCTGATCTACAAAGTGAGTTCCAGGACAACCAAGGCTACACAAAGAAACCCTGTCTCACACAACAACAACAACAATAACAACAACACACACACACACACAAAGAAAATAATTTTTTGTTTTTTGAGGTAGGGTTTCTCTGTGTAGCCTTGGTTGTCCTGGAACTCACTTTGTAGACCAGGTGGCTTCAAATTCATGGAGATCCACCTGCTCTGCCTCCTGAGTGCTGGGATTAAAAGTGTGCACCACCATGCTTGGATCCTTAAATTTTTCTTCTTTGTGCATGTGTAAATACATGTGACAGCATGTGTACATACATGTGACAGCATGTGTAGAGGTGAAAGGAAAACTCATGGGAGTCAATCCACTCCTTCTAGGACATGAGTTCCAAGGATGTTAGTTCCAAGGTCTGGCCTGTAGGACAGTGCCCTTACTGAGCTCTCTTGCTTGCCTTTTTTGTTTTTGCGTGTTTGTTTGTGGGAAAGAACCAGGATTTGTTCTATAGCTCAGGCTAGCCTGGAACTCACAATGAAGCGCAAGCTGGCTTTGAGCTCTCAAGTCTCTTGTCTTAGCTTTAAGTGCTGAGGTTTACAGATGTGAGCCATCACCCCCAGTCTGTCACTTGTTATATTCTGTAATGTTAGCTAAATGGAAAGGGTGGGAGACACTGTAGGGCAGAAGAGAGGAGCGGCTGGGAGGAATAAATGAGACAATGTGTATGACAGCATGAGGCAGTGTGAAAATCACCTTGCGAATTAGGGGTGTTAGATTAAATAAATAAAAACATACAACCCCAGGCTAAACTAGTTCAGATAAATAATGAATATAAATTGACTATTTGTTGGTGTAAGTATGGCCCAAATATTTAATGTGATTATTTATTCTAATCTTATACTTATTTATTGTTTATAGTTACACTTATTTATTGTTTGCCTGAAATTCTACTCTAGGGGATAGCCTGTGCTCTACCTGACACCTCCCAAATAGGGCTTAATCTCTGTATTACGGTTAAAACTGAGCCAAAGTCAGAACTCTGACTTCCTGCATGGTGCTGGACAGGTGTCTGATGGTCCTGTGCTGTTTCCCTATCCTCAGAGCAGAGCCTGGGGGCAAGGCGGCAGACTCAGCTCAGCGCTACTGCCTCTGCAGAGGACCTGGGTTCAGTCCCCAAACCCACCGTCATCCATAACTCCAGAACCAGGAGATCCAAACATCAAGTAAGCACACAAACATGCAGGTGAAACACTCATACCCATAAAATAAAATAAAAAATTTAAAAAGAATTTATGTTATAACTTGTGAGAGTTAGGTACATATGGAGAGATGGAGGTATGGAGGTGTGGCCACTGCCTCTCAAGGATGAGGCCCACATTCTGTCCTTAGCAGCCCAACTCTAAATACATATAAAATACTTAGAAAATACTCTGCTGATCAGAGTACTATGTATGCATGTATGCATGTCAAAAAAAAAAAACCAATACAGAGAAACCCTGTCTGGAAAAACCAAAAAGAAAAAAAGAAAGACGGAAAAGGTAGCATGTGGCAACAAGTATTGTTACAATCTTATTTTATACTAGTAACTTTGCTTCTTCCTGTTAAATCCAATCTTGTCTGGCTTCTACTTCTTTCCTGCCATTCCCAAGAGTGCCACAAGAGGGCATCAACAGCCATCGAGAGAGAGAGTATTATTAATGAATCACCTAGGGCCATGTGAAGTCCCTAGCTCTACCTCAATGGGTTTTCATAATCCGCTTGTCACAAGTACAGCATCTTGAGAACATCAGGTTCTGGGTGAACTTGGTGGCAGCTAAGGTAAGAAGGAGCCCCAGGGAGATAATTACTTAGGACCAGCAGATGGGGTGACCTCTGAAGACAGGCTGGAGACTGTTGCTTCACTGATGCTGGGGGCGGCTATGTATCACGGGGCCCACAAAGCTCCTCCTTCAGACTCTTCAGAGTCTTCAATTCTGGCTACCTGTACCAAGCAGAGTGTGGGGAATGGGAGGGAGGGAGGGAGGGAGGAAGGGAGGGAGGGAGGGAAGGGCACCTGATTGTCCTAACCAAAGCTTCCCAAGGGACTCCTGGCCAGACCCTGCAAGCTGAACTCTAAATTCGTAGATGTCACACAGGAATCCGGTCATGTGGCAGAAGCAAACCCTTCCAGTGAGCCTGTGGACTGAGTGTGCTGTATCCACAGCTGCTCTGCTGAAACGTGGGGGATCTCACCACTCTCAGGCTGGTTTTGTCTTGTTTAACACTGGGGACAGACTGGCTGTTTTCAGGTTTACTGGCCACCCTCAACGCATGTGCTCCAAGTTTAGGATTGTAAACTTGGAGGCCATCTCAGAGAGAACTTACTCTGCACAATCATTACAGACTGAGGAGGGTAGAGGTCCCACCCCCATGAAGTGGGAACTAGAACCCAGGCATCTCATTGCCTGCTTGTTTCATCTTTTGCTGAGGAAGAGGCGGCTCGGGTGCACTTAGTAGCATACTAGGGCATAGCAGTGCTGTCCAGCGCCTCACTCGAGAGCACTTCTTCCTCCCTCTCCACACTTACTATTTATTTATTTTTGTGCACATGTGTGGGCCTGTATGTGTCACAGCATACACGTAGAAGACAACTTGTAGGAGTCATTCTGTCCTGCCATGTGGATCTTGGGACTTCTATTCTGATAATAAGGCTTAGGGGCAATTACCTTTAACCACAAAGCCCTCAGACTGGCCCCCATGTGGCACTGTGGCTTCTGTGGATTTGTGTGTGCATGTTATATATGTTATATACGTATATGCAATATATAAAATACATATTTATGTGTATATTTGAGACAGGGTCTTACTATGCAGCTCTGGCTATTCCAGAACTTTCTATGCTATGCAGACCAGGTTGGCCTCAAACTCCCAAAGATCTACCTGCCCCTGCTTGGATTAACAGTGTGTCACCATGGTGGGCAAGTTCTGCGTTTTATGGGTCAGTTACAGTTAGAAAGATATCCTTTTTGCCATTAGAGTCCATGTGTCTGTCTCGCCAGGAGCCCGTTCAGATACCTAAACTCTGGCCCCATGGCCAGTTCACTGCTCTGGGACAGACACCTCAGCAGCCTGTGCAGAGGAAGTGAATCACCACAAGCAGGGCACGCTTGGGGCATTGTGGGCATGGCAATGCCAGCTTAGGGCGGGGGATGGGTTGGGAAGGCGGGTGATTCTAATCTACTGGTCCACCCAAGGGAGGGTGTGTGAGGACATCATCCTGGTGCTGGCTGAGGCCAAGTTCCTCCTCTTTCCATTTTCTTCTTTGTCTACCTTCTTATCTACATTTCTCAGGCCCTCGATATCCACCTTTTGCCCATAAAACTCCCCACTGCTTTCCCCCCTACTTTTTCCTTCTCTCTTTCTTGCTTTTAAACTTAACTTCATTTATTTAGAGGAACCATTTAAAAAGTCTGATGGGGCTGAGTGTGATAGTTCAGACCTGCAAATCTAGAACTCAGGACTTTAAAACCAGGTTGGGCTTCACAGTGAGATACTGTCTCAAAAACAAAACAAAACAAAACAAAAACAAAAAAACAGGGATCAGGGATAAATATCCAGGGGGACTGGAGAGTTGACTCAGGAATTAAGAGCACTTGTTGTGCTTGCAGAGGGCTTGAGTTCAATTCCCAACACCCACATGATGGCTCACAATCATCTGTAATACCAGTTGGTTGCATACACACACACACACACACACACACACACACACACACACACATATATTTCAGCCTCTTCTAGCCTTCAAGAGTACTGCATGAATGTGGTTCACAGATATACATGCAGGCAAAACAACAATACACATAAAATAAAAAGTTTAAAAAAAGCCAAGCCAGGCATTGGTGGCACATGCCTTTGATCCCAGCACTGGGGAGGCAAAGGCAGGCAGATCTCTATGAGTTCGAAAACCAGCCTGGTCTACAAGAGCTAGTTCCAGGACAGCCTCCAAAGCCACAGAGAAACCCTGTCTTGGAAAAACAAACAAACAAACAAACAAAAGTCAGGCAGTGGCGGTGGTTTGCCTTTAATTTCAGCACTTGGGGAGGCAGAGGCAGGGGAATCTCTATGAGTTCTAAAGCCAGCCTGGTCTACAGAGTGAGTTCCAGGACAGGCTACAAAGTTACACAGAGAAACCCTGTCTCAAAACAAAACAAAACAACAACAAACATCTGGCTCTTGGCCTTAGCGCCATCTTCCTTGAAACTCCTTCCTGCACGGCGAGGGCGAAGTGGAGCTAGAGGCAAAAGCGCAGGCTGAAGCGCAAAAGAAAAGGCAGAGGTCCAAGTAAACCGTGTCCACACACAAAGGCTGAAGGGGCAGAAGTAAGAGATGCCGAGGCTGGGACCTGGCACAAATTGTTGGACTGTGGGTGTGTGTAAGTCTCAATGGACCTGGAACCTCACCATCTGCTTGCAGGGACCACCTGAGAGACTCCACTGCTTTCATTACAACCAAAACAGTCCTGCTGGCCCTCTGCCCTGGGCCTGTGGCATTCTGGACTCATTCTGTTCTCACTGTGACCAAGTGTGACCTGTGTACAACAAACCATCTTTCTCCCTATCTCAGCTGAAGAATTAAAAAAAAAAAAAATCTGTTGGGGATCAGGGGAAAGCAAGGAAAAAAGAAAAAACAAACGAAACAACCAACTAAACAAAACCAAAGAAAAAAAAGTCATAAACTATAAGAAGAGGGACAATCCACCCATAGGTGTGGGGTGTTGAAGAGGGTTAGCTGGGGCCCAAATAGCAGACACAAGAACTTTCTGGGAAAACGGTGTGCGCTGCAGAAGACTCTGGGAAGAATACTGTAGGGAGACAGAACAAAGTGCAGGGGACCCTGCAGGGAACAGCCAAGCTTTTGTGGCTTATAGTCAGTCTGTGCTGGGTTTCCCGGCAGGGAGCAAGTAGACAGGTTGGATGTCATCTACTGCCTCCTTTTACACCTACCCAAAGAGACAAGCTCCACAGCCAAACTCTCAAACAGCCACACCTCTTTTAACACAACTGGCCAAGCACTGGTACTTGACTGTATATGTTGTGAAGCAAGCCTCTGGCACAGGCTCAGTGATGGCATAAACATGCTAGTTCGTGGGGCCGAGAGAAGGCTCAGCAGGAAGAGCATTTGTTTTTACAGAGGAGCAGGTTCGATCACCAACACCCACATGGCCTCTCACAACTGTATATAATTCCAGTTCCAGGGAATCTGATGTGCTCTACTGAACTCCTTGGGCACCAGATATGCGAGATACACATTACACATACATTTGGGCAAAACACTCATACAATACCATAAAATGAATATTTTAAAAAATACTATTTCATGAAGGTAAAAAATGATACTCATGCTCAGTCTCCCAAATGCTTGGACTTTACTTGGGAATGAGTCACCAAACCTGGCCAGGTAGTTTTCTTTGTTTTGTTTTTTTGGTACAGGGCTTCTTTGTGTAGCTTTGGAGGCTGTCCTGGAACTCCCTCTGTAGACCAGGGTGGCCTCGAACTCACAGAGATCCTCCTGCCTCTGCCTCCCAAGTGCTGGGATTAAAGGCATGCACTTCCACTGCCCAGCTGCGAATTAGTTTTATTAAAAATTTCTTACATGAAAGAAGCTGTAGGTCTCCCTGTAAGTAGGCCCTCAAGTACAGCTTACTCGAGTCAAGGCTGCTCTCTTTTTGAAGCACGGATTTTATGGGGCTTCTTAAGGGATAACAACACGGTCTCATATGAAATTGATCACTGCTAAGCATGGTGTGTAGCCCGGAGACCGAGGCCCATTTTACTAAGGGTTGAGAGTAGCTCTGTTGCGGCTCCGATCAGCAGGACTGGGGTCCTGTGGCTCTCCCGGTGGGGAGCCCCGGCGTCTGTGCAGGGCTTTCATCGGGTGTACCCAGATGGGCTCTCGGCTGCGCCCTTTCTCCGCCGCCCAGTGCGGCCGGACGCGGGAATTGTGGCAACCAACCCGGGGAGGAAGTAAGGGCTGCACGCCTGCTTGAGGTTACCGACCGCACCGGGGTGGCGGGGTGGGGCAGAAGCAGCCGGCTCTGAGCGGTGTCCTCAGGCACCTGAGGGCCCTTGACCAAGTCCCGGTGGGCCGCCTCCGCTCCACCAGGAACCCCGGGCGTCCGGCAGAGCGCGAGCCATCCGTCCCGTCCGGGTTCCACAGGCGCAGCGCGGGGTTCCCGGGACCCGGCCCCGCCCGGCCGCGGCCCACGCCCAGCTCAGCTCCGCGCGCGGGGCCTTCCCTCCGCGGCTGGGCTCGGCTTGGGCTCGCCCGGGCTCGGCGGGCAGAGGAGGAAGGAGGGAGGGAGCCGCGGGCGGCGGAAGGGGGAGGAGAGGACCCGGCCCAGCCAGTGCGCACGGGCCGGGCGCTCGGAGAGGAGACGGAGGAGCGGCGCCCGGGCCGGCCAGCTCTGCACCGGCCGCCGAGTGAGTCCGTGTGCGGCGCGCGGGGGCAGCGGGGGCCGCGGGGCGGCGGCAGGCGCCGGGGTTTCAGGGCGCAGCTCGAAGGCGGCGGGGACTCCACCGGCTCATGGCGGCCGGCCTGCCGGAGGGCGGGCCGAGCACTGCGGGAGCAGGCGCACCGGCCCGGGCCTCGGCCTCGGCCGGGAGGCCTGTGGGGCAACAGGTAGGGTCGGAGCCCGACGCTCGCCCGGGACCCGAGCCTACAAACATCCCTTTGTTGGGAGTGCAGCAGTCGCAGACCTGTGGTGCGAGAACCCTCTGGTGGGCCGCGTGCGCCCTGGGGCCTGAGTGCGGAGGCCAAGGAGGAGCGGTGGCGGCCCCTGCTGCTGCTGCTGCTGCTGCTGCTGCTGCTGCTGCTGCGGCCGCCACCGACGCGGCCGCTGGGCCCCTTTTGCCCATCCCAGGAGAGAGGCTAGAGCGTCCATGTGCCGAACGGGAAACAGGAAGGAGTACTCTCAATGTGTCCTGGCCCCAAAAGGCTAAGACTTCTGTACCGTTATGGGGTGTGCGTGGCCTGCTCTGGGAGCAGCTGGTGAAACTAGCTTTACGGGCGGTAACTTGCTAATTACAGGCTCAGAGGCCCTCGAGCTAGTTTGCTCCCTGCAGGTGCGCGACTTTCATCTTTGGCCTGGGCTTGGGAGTTCCTGGTGTCTAAGGCGCCCCTAGCATCCAAACCAGATCTGGTTTTTGAGTTGCCAGCCTCTGCAGTCAGACTTCTAAGCATCGTGAGGTCTGGAGTGAGCCCGTCTTCCCAGACAACTGAATTAGGGAAGGCCTCCTGCAGCAGTTACTTCTGTTTGTGTCAGAGCTGGGGTAGGAAGTCACTTCCCATCCCAGAACCGAAGTGACTAGCTTGAATGAAAGTTTGTTGACTGCACCTGTGATGGGGCCCTTAAGTCTGCAGAACTATTCCTGGCCACACAGTGCTTATTTTCCAAGGCGCGTGCGGGGGTCCTGGAATTAAGTGATCCTTGCAGTTCCTTACCCCTTTCTCCTTATTGGGGCCTCCAGCAAGATTTTGCTCTGGATAGAGGGGCCTTTTCCTCCCGCCACTAGCGTCACCCCACACATGCTGCTTAAACCTGCTGGCTTCTCCCTGTCCCTGGGGGCCGCACTCTTACTTGGGTTGGGGGTGGGGAAGAGCTTGTGAACATCTCAGACAAGCTATAGGCCACATGAAGCCTGGGACCATATTGTTAGGGCCTCACATCCTCATCTTTCCCAGAATCTGACCCATAGTTTTAGACTGGTGCTGTACCCTGAAGGGGTGACACACCTTTTGACTTCACCCATTGCTCTTCACCTTCTAGAAAGTTCATGGCCAGCTATTATTGCATGAAAACAAAGTTTTCAGCAAGAATGGTTACTCAGGCCTCCCTCTATTTTATGGTAGCTCAGACCTGAGAGCCCTTGGGCCCCTCTTTTTTTAATCTCTCTGCAAAAGGAAACTCAGAATCACTAGGACTGTTACCCCATTGAGTCTGAGAAGTTCTTATAGGCTACACTTGTACCCTCCTGTCCCTCTGGGTCTGCAAGCTGCCATTAGCACCAGCTCCCACCCCTTTTCATTTACCTGCGGGGATCTTTGGGTGGGAGATCAGTCAGAGTTGGAGCAAAGGTTGGAGCTAGGTAGAACCTACTCAAGTTTCGAGTAATATAATGCTTGTGAAATCCCTGCCACACTGGCTCCACTCCAGCGTGTGTCTCATTAAGTGGTGTCTGTCTCTGAGGCAGGTAGGTGTGTGTGAAGGAGACAAGAAGTGAACACATACACCATAGATTTCCTGTGTGCAGGTGGCATAATTTTATGAGTGCAAAAGTTGCATGTGTAATCAAGACTCCCTTTCTTGTCCTGATGTCTTTGTTTATGGGATGCTTGTCTTAGTGTGATGGTGCCAGGCATCACCAGGGATGCAGCAGGGAACAGACTGGTTCTGGGGAGATGTGTAAGAGAGGCTGACCGAAATCCCAGTTCTTTCCCCTCCTGAAAAAAACACCTGACCCTGCTGAATCTGGGGCAGCTTCTCTGCTGTGGAAGTTGAGAACACCAAGGGCACTCCACACACGGGGTGGGGGAGGCCTGGTGCTGTTGTGTCCTGGGATTGAGACAGGTGTGCTGCTCAGGTACTTTCCTTTAGCCATCCTCTGATACCCACTTGGGTTCCTCTCTCCCTAGCTCCTCACCTTTGTAGGGATAAGAAAGGCACTAGACATTCCTTTGCTGCTGCTAGAGTTCAGGAGACAGGCTCCACCCACCCCCTAGGCCCTTAGCCTTCTGAATCCTTAACCCTTAATAGGCTCTAATAAGAATACATTCTACTAAATGGATGGGATGGCCTAAGGCTAGGATTGCCTGCAGGACTGAATTTAGGTCTCTTCGGAGGAAAAGTTAGGATGACAAGGTCAGGTATTGGTCCCCACCTCCTACCTGGGAAGGAAGCAATGGAGGGGAGGGTGTGCAGACTGTCAGTCTGGTTTTTCTGCCCTCTTCCCTTCCCTACTCAGTTTTCCACTTTTCTCTAGGAAGAAAAGTGCTTGTGTGGGCAGTTACATTTAATTTTGTTCACTTTGAGAGGCTCCCATCTCTTTTTAACAAATTAAATATTTATTCAGGCTGAGGTGGAGGGGGAAGGGACAGTGCCCTCCATGTCAAGGCCTGGAATGTGTGATGGGTGTGTGGAGCTGAAAATCCTTTATCGTCTAAACTGACCTCTGATTTCATCCAAAAGAGCGGTGACCAGGAGTAGGGACAAGAGGGTAAAGTCCTCGAGCTGGAATACTGACTGACCCGTGACAGGCAGAGAGGGATTTCGTAAGTGCTTCTGTGGAGGGTGGAGGCGGAGCTGTTGAGAGAGCCAAGCAGCCAGAAGACCAGCCCAGCTCAGTTGTGGGCTGAGGTGTCAGGCTTCTTCAGCCACTCCAGCTGAAATAAAGTGCCTGGTGTCTCTGCTCACACTGGCCTTCCAGCTCCTGCTCTCTCCTCTCCTCTCCACCTGGGAGGAGGCCACCTTTCTTCTGTCACAGCTTCCACTCTATAGGTCAGTGAATGTTGCTACCTCTTCTCTCTATCCATAGGAGAACGAGAGGTGGGGGGCCTGGAGGACTTCCTTGGCTCCCCTGCTCTGCAAGTCTTAATTCCCCAGCTATGTGCTGATCAATGACCCTTCAGGGACATCTGGTTGCTTCAACTCTGAGCAGCTGCCAGAGACTGTCCCCTGACTCATCTGGATCCCAGTGGTCAGTGCCACACTGTTCTTCATCTTTGGGAGCAGGGGAGAGGGAAGTTGAAAGCAGCGGCTCTTTCCTGGCTTGAGGATGTTGACTGGTTTCTTTGCAGACAGGTTTCTGTTGTTTTGTTTTTCGAGACAGGGTTTCTCTGTAGCTTTGGAACCTATCATTTGCTCTGTAGGTCAGGCTGGCCTCGAACTCAGAGATCCTCCTGCCTCTGCCTCCTGAGTGCTGGGTTTAAAGTTGTGCACTACCACTGTCATGGTGAGGATCCTGTCATTTCAGCACGTGACTTGCTGAGGCAATAGATAGGATCATGAGTTTGAGCTCAACCTGCACGGCATAAGTGCTGTCTCAAAGAATAAAGGAAAAAGAGGATGAGGGAAAATAGGTCAGTTTTATCAAATGTCTTGGTGTGCTGTCCCAGACCCATCCTCAGTCCTGACCTCGTCCCTTCCAAAAAGAGGTTTACAGATTACTTTCTGTCTCACATGTGGAGACCGAATGACTTGCCATGGAGTGTCAGTCTTGTGTGCAGGTGTGTGATGCTCACTTCTTTGGTGATGGTACTTCTGTTTCCTTTTCTCCTATAGATCTGCTGGCCAGTTAAGGGTCTGTGTAGCCCTGGCTGTCCTGGATCGCTGTGTGGACCCACGTGCCTCTGCCTCCTGAGCCTGGGATTAAAGGTGTGCACTACCATACTCAACCTGGATGACTTCCCTGACTGCTGACTACTTCTCTGACTGGGTCTTGATTGTCCTCCAGGTTGAGAGCCAAAAGATAAGACTGATAAGAAATGGGGGGTGGGGGTTGTTATTGCAGGGGATCAGGCCTGGGTGGTGTCAGTATCACCTAAGGTTACAACAAACTAAATCCTGGAACTTGAAAGCCACAGTTTTCCTATTACAGATAAGGAAACCAAGTCAGTGAAGGAAGCCAATTCATTCCAAGGCCACGTAGCCAGAACCAGAGACTCAGGCTTGAGTCGTTGGTTCCATTCCCTTTCCTCCCTGCAGAGCTCTAACTCGGTCCTCTTTCCCCTTCTTCACTTAGGATGCTTCAGACCTTGTATGACCACTTCTGGTGGGAACGACTATGGCTGCCTGTGAACTTAACCTGGGCTGATCTAGAAGACAGAGATGGACGTGTCTACGCCAAAGCCTCAGACCTCTACATCACACTTCCCCTGGCCTTGGTCTTTCTCATCATTCGATACTTCTTTGAACTGTGAGTATGCCCTTACACCTTCGCCTAGTGCCAGCCAACCTAGCAGATTTCATGTTGGTCCCTTGATAATCAGTTCTGGACATGGGTATTCTGGCTATCCAGGTCCCTACTGACTGCTCCCCCTCCCCCAGAGCACCATTGTCTTCCTGAGGGCTCAGCACCCCCAGCCCTTTCCTTGAATAGTTGCTTGTTCTCACCCCATGCCCGCCTCCTTGAATGGTCAATAGTGAACATAGGCAGCTTTGTCAGCTGTGGGTAGCCTGGGAGGCTAGAGGACAGGGGGTTGCCAGAAAACTTGGGAAACTGAGGCCCAGAATAAAGTGCCTTAACTTGTGGTACTTTCTCCTCCCCGTGTAGGGGTTGAGTGCTCCAAGGGAGCCAGACACCCCTTTCTCATGTCCCTTCCCCAGTTATGTGGCTACACCCCTGGCTGCCCTCCTGAATGTTAAGGAGAAAGCCCGACTACGAGCACCTCCTAATGCCACCTTAGAGCATTTCTACCTGACCAGCGGCAAGCAGCCCAAGCAGGTATGAGCCGCAGATGACCCTGGGAGTAGCTGAGTTTGGGTGGGCCATAGTTTGAATACTAGCCCTGGAAGGGGAAGACTTGGCAGGGTGTGGGCCTGGCTTAGCTTATTCCTGGGAGAGGCTGGGCAGAGTTGGGACATTGCTGATTTGAAGGCTGAATGTAATGGCCTCACTATACTTAGGTGGAGGTTGAGCTTTTATCTCGGCAGAGTGGGCTCTCTGGCCGCCAGATAGAACGCTGGTTCCGCCGCCGCCGCAACCAGGACAGGCCCAGCCTTCTCAAGAAGTTCCGAGAAGCCAGGTGGGGGAAGTTGGGGCAAGCGACGCTGGGTGGCATAATTCTGTTGTCTCTTGCTGGGAGGAGAGGGCTGTGGTGTACAGGAGATGTAAGGATACCTTGAGGGGGTGCCTGGAGACCGTGGGAAGCTGCTGATCCTCTTACCTAGCCAGATCTGCTTCCTTTTGCAGTTGGAGATTCACATTTTATCTAATTGCCTTTGTTGCTGGCATGGCTGTCATTGTGGATGTGAGTACTGGGATGTGGGAGCACTGCCTTTGTCAAGATGGGGTGAGGCCACAGGATTTGAGTTCTTCCCTTAATCTCTCTTTGCAGAAACCCTGGTTCTATGACTTGAGGAAAGTTTGGGAGGGCTACCCCATACAGGTATGAGAGTGGTCTATGGCATACAACACCCCATTATTAAGAGTTCCTTGAAACCATGGCACAGGAATCAGTCACAGAACAAAGACTATCTTGAGGGGCTAGCAGGGTCAAGTTTGGAGGTGAGCCCCACAGAGCTAGTTGTTCTGGGATCTCTCACATCTCGTTCCTCTGCAGAGCATTGTCCCTTCTCAGTATTGGTACTACATGATTGAACTCTCCTTCTATTGGTCCCTGCTCTTCAGCATTGCCTCCGACGTCAAGCGAAAGGTGAGTGCAAGGACCAGATGAGACCCTAGGATGAAAACCCTTTGCGTTGACACCTCAGGGATCTGGACAGAGCTGCTGGGATATGGGGAACAGTGCAACGGGAGAGCCCCTTGACCCTGCATCTTTTCTGCAGGACTTTAAGGAACAGATCATCCACCACGTGGCCACTATCATTCTCCTCAGCTTCTCCTGGTTTGCCAATTACGTCCGGGCAGGGACTCTCATCATGGCTTTGCATGACTCTTCTGACTACCTGCTGGAGGTTAGGCTTCCTCGCAGTAGAGCCCCAGCGCAGTTTCATTTGTCCCTCTAGCCTTTCAGGGGGTTGAAGATGCTGTTGACATTCCTGGTTCCAGGGTGGGAGGGCATGGTCAGTGCTGCTAATCACACACACATATTAATGTATATGGGAGAGTCAGGAGCCCATGATGATAGATGGGACTATTTATGCAGTCCGCCAAGATGTTTAACTACGCGGGATGGAAAAACACCTGCAATAACATCTTCATTGTCTTCGCCATTGTTTTCATCATTACTCGACTGGTTATCATGCCTTTCTGGTGAGTAGGTAGCCGGCTCTTCTTGCCTTTCTTACACATATACCTCAATCTTTGACCCATGTCCATGTTTACCACCACTTTCCCTTATCCTTAGGATCCTGCACTGCACGCTGGTATACCCACTGGAGCTCTACCCTGCCTTCTTTGGCTATTACTTCTTCAACTGCATGATGGCAGTGCTACAGGCGCTACAAGTCTTCTGGGCCTACTTCATTTTGCGCATGGCCCACAAGTTCATAACTGGAAAGGTGAGGAAGGCTCTGCCTCCCTTTTATAGGCCTCAGCACTCTCAACCCCAGAACTCCCTAAACTACCTCAGGAAACTTGGAGGTAGCCCTTGGGGATTGGAAGATACATAACCCTTTTATCCTTTTTACAGATGGTAGAAGATGAACGCAGTGACCGAGAAGAAACAGAGAGTTCAGAAGGGGAGGAGGCTGCAGCTGGGGCAGTAGCAAAGAGCCGGCTCCTAGCTAATGGCCACCCCATCCTCAATAACAATCATCCTAAGAATGACTGAACCATTGTCCTAGCTGCCTCCCAGATTAATACATGAAGCCAAGAAACTAGCCAACCTTCCCTTTACAGGGACATTTGAGCTCTGGGGAGAAAAGACACAAAGAAGAGTCTACATCGACTCTCCTTACTTCTTCTGTCACCCAGTTACCTTTAAAGCAAACTCTAACCAGCCTTTCTTCAGGTAGAGAGAGAAGGTTGGTTGTATCTTCTGCTAGAGAGGGGATGGTCTTATTTCCCTCTCTATCTTCTAAGCTACTTTCTGCTTTTGAAAACCTTTCTCAGTTCTGAGTATAACTCTTGAGTTATACTCACATTCCTTATTCTTATGAATACTGAGCTAGCTGCTTCCTTTGACTCCCTGACTTTAAGCCAGGGTTGTGCCTTACTGTCCCATCTCTGGGCCTCACTCTGCCAAAGCTGGACCAAGGTTCCACCTTTCAAAGCTTCCTAGCTCAGGCCAAAAATGAAAGCTGAGCTACTTTTAACTTCTCTTCCTCCTTAAAAACAAGTTAGGTGAAGGAAGGGTATATAGGCCCCTCACCCTACCCAAGGGACCATGTGCTCTAGGGCCTCACTGCCTCCTTTCTCTGGCCTTTCTTTCTCCTCCCTTCAGCTAACAAGCTGGAGTAGAGTAGAGCGGCAACTACTTGTTATTTATTGAACATTTGGGGTTTCAATTATAAAGCCAGAATTACAGCTAGGACCTGGCATTTCATCAAGGGACCATTTCAGACCAAAATGTACTGTTAATGGTTTTTGGTTTTTTTTTTTTTTTTTAATTAAAGTATATTAAAGGTTAAGAAAAACATGAGAGTGTGTCAGACTATTAAGAACTAAGAAGGGATAGTATTCTTAGGCCTACCTTATCTAACTTTTTTTTTTGGGGGGGGCTAAAAATTACAGAGGGCAAATGAAGTAGAGGTGTTAAGGCTACTACTGATATTGCCCACTGGGAAAATGACATCTCCCTGGGAGAGTAAGACGGGGACTGAGGAGAAAACAAATCACAATCTCTATTTTATCATCTTGTTAAAAGACTTTCAAGAAACTATACAAACCAGGGATGGCAGGCATACAGCCCATGTGAATCAAGAACACATGAACAAATATGTTTGAGAAGGACCTCAGGCTGGGGCTAGAGTGGTCATGTCTACCCACCCTAGTGCCTGCTAGCACCACACTGGGAGAGTTCTGGTCCAGGATCCCCAACTCTACCTACTAGGAAATGGAGAGAAGCTAGACCAGAGACTTGGGGTCAGAGTCCAACGGTCAGGAAGACCCAGTTCTGGGGAAAAGATGGCCAAGGGTTCTCAAAGCGAGAAGAGGCTTCCTTTAAAGAAGACGCCCTCTGCACTCAATGGCCCCACAGCAGCACAGCAGCTCTTTGCCTTCCACACTGCCCACTTCGTAGTTGTAGTCCCAAGTAAGTTCTGTTCCAGCGCGGATTCTCCTGAAGAGGGAAAGAGGGTGGGAATGTGGGAATAAGGGCAGTAGGTAACACAGCACTTGAGGTTAGGGTTTACAAGGCAAAGGTGAAGCCTGACCACAAAAGGTGTGCCCACCTCCCTGAATTCCCATGAAATTTACCCCTTCCTCATTATCCCTCTTACTTGCTGGCAAAGAAAGCCACCCAAGGGAAGCGAAGATCATGAGTATCCACAAAGACATTCTGGACAAACAGGTTGGGGCTGCAACTGTGCTGTAAGAAAAAAGATGAGAGTCACTTGACGAGGGAAACACCTGGCTTTGTGAGAATTATAAGAAATGGTATCTGATCTCTACCCCCATTATGTTTCATAGCAGTGGTGTTTTGAAAGAAAGCTACCTTATTATTTGAAATTAGCTTATGAGCAAAGGTAGCTTTAAGCAGAATCTTTAAAGAATTAGGGATTTGAGGGAAATGGCATACATAACCCTGCACTTAGAAGGGTCTCACATTGAGGTAGCGGCCTAGGTTGCCTTCAAGTTTGGCATCGATGATGTAGCAAGACTCTTCACCGTCATAGAACTGGCGTGTGTTCTTACGAACTGGTGCACTCTCCCCCTTGTCCACGGGAGCCATGTTGGTTGATTTAACAGCAATTCCATGGGTTGATTTAAGAGCAAAGCCTCGGGTTGATTTTACTGCCACTTGGCGCTTTGTTGGACCTGGAAAGAAAAAAAAGGGCAGTGGTGGTGTTAGAGCTATTCCAACTTATAAACAGACATTCTACCACTTTCATTTAACCCAGCCTATTCTCAAACTTGTGATCCTTCTGTCCCCCTATTCTCCCATGTGCTGGAATCATAGTTGTTACCAGAATGCCACAGTTTTCCTTCGTTATTATTCTACTCATTGTGGTTTAGGGATAGCAGTAAGCTAGCTACATCTCAAGCTAAGACCTTAAGTCACTAGCCAGGTGTGGGTGGTGTATGCCTTTAAAGCCAGCATGCAGGAGGCAGAGGAAGGTAGATCTGAGTTTGAGGCCAGCCTGGTCTATACAGTGAGTTTCAGGACAGCCAGGGCTACACAGAGAAACCCTGTCTTGGAGGAAAAATGTATAATAAGATGTGCTGAATTGGGGCTGGAGAGATGGCTCAGTGGTTAAGAGCACTGACTGCTGTTTCAGAGGACCTGGGTTCAATTTCCAGCACCCACATGGCAGCTCACAACTGTGTGTGAGTAGTTCCAGGGGATCTGACATCCTCAGACATATGAAGGTAAAACACCAATGCACATAAAATAAGAATAAACAAATAATAATAAAAAAAAAAGATGTGCTGAATTAAAGATCTGAAGAGATGGAGAGGTGCTGGGAAAAAAAAAGGGCACACATTAGTTTAGCTCAGCTGGGAAGCCTGCCCAACTCTTAGTATCTGAACTATTTAACTTCTTTTTTTTTTTAAAAAAAAAAAAAAAAAATGTTTTTCCACTGGGTGGTGGTGGTGCACTCCTTTAATCCCAGCACTCAGGAGGCAGAGGCAGATGGATCTCTGAGTTCGAGGCCAGCCTGGTCTATAGAGCTAGTTCCAGGATAGACTCCAAAACCTTATTTCTGGGGGGAAAAGTTTCCTGTTTCTTCCTAATACTCCCCAAACATTTTCAGATTACCAGACAAGTTCTTCTTGTCCTCAAAGTCATCACCGTCAGAGCCAGAAGAGATGGTCTGGATGTCATCACTGTCAACAGCTGTTGCTGAAGTCTGACCAGCAGTGGGCTTTCGGCTGATTCCACTTTCCCCTTCACTTTCTGTGCTGCTGGACAGTGTCAGGATATCCTGGGGAGACAGAGGGTGTGAAAAAGGAAGAAGAAAGGCTGCTTCAACTTCTTGCGTTTACCTATGACTTGGCAAAATGGGCTATGGCAATAGCAAATGGTGATTAGATGTTGGGAACAAGGTAGAAAGTCAAAACCAAAGAAACAAGATCCTTAATAGGGCTGGAAAAATGGCTCAGAGGTTAAAAGCATTGGCTGCTCTTCCAGAGGTACTGAGTTCAATTCCCAGCATCCACATGGTGGCTCACAACCATCTGTAACAAAATCTGGTGCCCTCTTCTGGCCTGCGGGGATACATGCAGGAAGAATGATATATACATAATAATAAATAAATCTTAAAAAAAAAAAAAAGAAAAAAAAGAAAGAAAGAAGAAGATAATAGTCATTCAAGTGAAGGACTTGAGGACATATTCCTTTCCTGTACTTGGACTAAGTAAAAGAAAGCAGGATAAACTTAAGAAGGTCACTCACATCAGGGTTGGACTGAGTAGAAGCCACAAGTCGACGACTTGTGGGCATAGAAGTTTTACTAGATGGTCGGCGAAGCCCTTCAGACTTCATGGGAGGATTGTGTCCATAATTCTGAGAGCTTTCAGTAACTCTGATGGGAAGGGCAAAGAATGAGAGGGGTCAGGTTACTGCCTGCCTGTTCCTTAGGCTTCCTTTGTAAGTGAGAGAAGACAGACTCAGAACAATCCAAAAGTAAGCACTTACACTGACATCTTGTTTCGGTCATCAGGGTCCTGGAAAGGAACAAATGAAGGGTTAAATGCTTTCAAGGTCCAAGGTAACAAAAGATCTCCAAAGACAACATTAACATATGCCAATGAGAGGCACAATAACAAAGGGGTGATGTGGGGAAATCACTTTGTAACCTGAGAGCAATAATCATATTCTCACCAGTATACTCCCCTGGCCAGGTCCTTTAACCTTTCCCAATAATGGAACACAGGGAACAGTATTGTGAGCAGAGTGTTCCATGGACCCAACAGTTTTACTACCTGTAAGGGGGAATGTTTCAACATCAAAGGTAAACTTGTAATAGTAAATTTTAAGTCAACCTAGATTGTACTGTGCCTATCTAAATAAAAACAGCAATAAAAAATAAAACTCAACAAAAGCAAGAAACCCTACATACTTCAAATCAATTCTCTTGAACAAGGTAACCTCCCCACCAACATTAAAAGGCATTGCTCTTAACAGGGACACACATTCCCTGACTCTTGCCATGTAAAACTACACTGTCACTGTCCTAGAGCCTGCCAGCTAGGATGGCTATCACCAGATGCAGCTTTAAACCTCCAGAACCATGCATTAAAGTACATTTTCGGGGCGGGGTGTGTGTGTTCAACAACTTCTTACCTCTTTCTTAGTCTGCTTATTGTCTCCTTCATCCTTGAAGCTCAATCCTGAGGTAGAGGCCTTCTCAGCTTCTGCCCGGCCTGCCCCAGTTCGGCCATCTCCACCCTCACTAGTCTTGAAGGAAGAACGGCTGTCAGAATCAGCAAATCCACCTTCACTGACACTATTGCAGCTCAACCATGAGGCCACCTTGTTCTTGGGGGTCTCTTCAGATGAAGGTGGCTTGCAGCCCCCTACAGATCCTGAAGGAGGGACAGGAACATGTGGAGGCCCAAGGTCTGGAGGGCGAGAGTCCTTGGAAGCCACCTCAGACAGTCCATTCTCCTTCTGACCCCGAGTTTGTCTCCGGGTAGCATAGCTACGCCACACTGAACTGGTGCTGAAGTCCTCATCCTTACAGAAGTTATCATCAGAGCTGTCATCATTGGATTCTTCAGGATCCTCTGAACCACTGTTGCCATCTTCCTGGTCCTTCATGTCTACCCCACTGCTGTCAGAGGAACTGGCAACATCACTCTCATATCCTTCCTTAAAGTTCTCCACACTTTCAATGTGGTCCAGATTTGCAAAGTACTCATCACCCATCTCCAGCCCTTCTTTGTCTGCAAAATCATCTGTCAGGATTTTGCCTGAGAATGAAAAGAATTGAAAGGTCTTCATCAGTAACCTTACCCACATGGTAAATCTTGTATTATGTGGTCACATTGGATGCAAACTTTATCTTCACCATGAGAGCATTATCACTACAATCTGTCACTTTACACTTTATCCTTTGACCTTCCCATTTTTTGTTTGTTTTGTTTACCTCTGATACATCCTAGCTATGTTAAATATCTCTGGGAGAAAACGATACAATGGGATCTAAATGAGGTCTGTCAATGAAACAATAATAGCCAAATTTTAATTCACTTTTACTGTTTTTATGAAGCACTTTTACCTTCTCTGGTCCATCTACATAGGCACATCACTTATCATATCCTTTTTGGTTTTGTTTGTCTGTTTGAGACAGTTTTGGAGCCTGTCCTGGAAATTCACTCAGTAGACCAGGCTGGCCTCGAACCCAGAGATCTGCCTGCCTCTGTCTCCTGAGTATTGGGATTAAAGAAGTACACCACCACCGCCCCGCTCACTTATCATGTCTTTATAAAAGAAATTCCTATCTCATCTCATTCTCAGTTCAAATGTCACAGTTC